ATCCACACTTGAACCAAGTGAACTCAATCAATCAGAAGAAAGTATTGGCTCCTTGAAACCAAAATTGAGAAAACACCAAATCTGTCGTCTTTGCTTCCAAAGAAAATAACATAACTGTCCTTGCTCAATCCAATGCTCAGTCTTTTTTAATGTTGTCTTCAACACACAAAAATAGGGATTTTCTAGGTATAGAGGTTTTTGAAGGGTTTGACTCTTGAGCACACAAAAACACATACACACGGCAGTAAGAAGAAGCGATTTGACTGAATGTACAAAGATATACACAATCTTGAGACAGCCCAACATAAGATATTGTATTTTGTCAATAGAATAGGTCTGATATGTTAGCAGGTGCATGTGTACCATAACTCCTTTCAGCTTTTTTCTTAAGAAAAAAGGTCTAGAATCATGGTGACTGGCAAGAAATTAAGATTACACCAAGTTTTGTATTTGACTTTTCTGAAATGTTTTTTAACTATGGGTCATAGTCATACAGGTCAACACCATATAAAAATAAACAGATGAATTGTTCTCGACATCAAACATATGAAACAACAAAAAATAAAATAAAATAGAAATTCTTGAATGGTATCCTAGTCTGGACCATTTTTCAGGGAGGAGAAACATACCTGCGATGCCAATGTACTATAAGATGGCTCTTCCAGATTTCTAGATTTTGGTGATGTGCTAGGACAAGATATGTCATGGCTCACTTCACTTCCATTCAGTTTGTGCAGGGTACCATCTAGCACAGGGTCACTCTCACTTCCGTTGGATGACTTCACCCTCTACATACAAAGAACTTTCAAAAGTTTCAGGTACCTGATGAATTGGACATTTATATTAGAAGATAAAGGGCAGGAACTAAGGGAAAATACCTGGAAGATTTTACCAAGAGTTTTCAACCCCTTAGCTCGTGCACGGAGCTCTTCTTTCTTGACAGTGTTATCTTGAAGAACCTAAAACAAATCACCAACGAATTACTGCCAAACAAACATAGTGTCTAAATCAATGTGATCCAACAACCATTAATATCCAAAGACGAGCTAAACAACCATCTGACAAACACGGGAAAGAGTGGCCTCAATATCAGCAACGTTAAGCTTCCACAAGGAATCAATCATTAACTTCTTGTGGGATTGCATATATTCCTCGAGCTCTTCCTCGGTATAGTTCCCCTCTGCACTGAGCTGTTTCTTCATGTCTTCCTGAAGCTGGATCAGGGCGATGGCGCCTAGCACCACCAGTCAGGAAAAATGGTAAGAGAATACATAACTAAATAGATTTTTCGAAGCAACTTAAGTGAAGCAAATGCTTCAACTGATTTTTATTAACATCAAACTCCAAGACAATTTGGAATGTTCCTTGCAGAAGATTGAACCACCATTTTAGGATGAATTTTTAAACCAGGCCATTTAATTTTAAATATGCACAGTAGGTGTGACAGTACGGAATATTTACCTTGACAAGCAAATACATGAAGCATTATGTTTAACTGAATATATAATTTCATTGTGTAAAGTTAATTGAAGTAGAAGGGGCATGGTTCATTAACATTTTACAATTTCCAATTAATGGGAACAAAGTCCAAATTGTGACAAAAGTTTGTCACTCTCTTTCTAGCAGTTGGTCAATCAAAGGGAAAAGGAACAAAAAAATGCTAGTGCACTACATAAAAATGCAAATTGATGGAACAGAGAGCTCAGGTACATTTTGCTTGCTGAGAGCACATCCAATTAAATCTCACTTTTGTTCTACTAGTCAATCCTGGCCAGTGGTCCAATAGCCAACAGAGCTTTGACCAAGGCCAAAAGATTAATGACTTAGACACAGTCATTGACCACCAAAGCCAGTAGTGTCTACTAACCTGTTGCTGCAGTTACTTGGGATTTGATGAAGTGGCCTTTGTTTCTAAACCATTCCGCAATGAATGGCACACCCAAATATAAGGCTTTCTTTCCAAGCTCCTTGGCCGCTTGTCTTGCATAAATATAACCAATTGTATTCAACATATCAACACCATATGCTGCAGTAAATAGGATGCAAAGTTAATGAAAAAGCCGTCAGCTGTTTGCAATAATGATTTTAAAACAGGTTCAAACAAAAATAAGAACAAAAAAGAGATCGTTATGAAACACAAGTTCCAGAGATTCTATAATTAAAAGTTTAACCCTTGCGCCATTAAGCAAATATTTTCATAAACTCTGGCTCTTGTTCTATGTGGATCTAGAAGCCACTAGTAATTCATAATACATTGATCCTAAGACAATTAGAAAAGTAAAAGAATCCAAATAGTATAAAAGAAAGTTTTACTGCAACTACAACGGTACTGTAGTGAAACTAAATTAATGGTATTTCAAGTGTCTACTTCTGAATAAGTTCAGAATAAAAAGCTACTAGAACCACTGATTTGGAAGTTGTCTTCGTATTCCTTTGGCTTTCCGAGTGCTTCTTCCATCCTGAAGATATGGAACAGGTGGTTGAACTTCTTTTGGATGTGGATTTCAAGTCAAGGAGTACATGGATTGGCACAAGTAATTAGTTATATATACATTAAATTATATACTAATATATAAATATTATATAAATTAATTTATATATTAATATATACCTATTACATAATAGTATATACAAGATAAGACTTAGTTCCCCATCCTGCTTGTGTATTAAAGCATAGATATGCTGTAGGACCAATAGCATCTTCCACGATCCCTTCCTCTCCAGTCACCATGTCCTATTCATTTTAGACGCATGCCTTGCAATTCCATCTTTTCTAAGCAGAAGAATCATGAGCATCAAAAGGAATATCAAGCTCTAATTTGCTACCAAAGTCTCTGCATCCATGTCATATGGCCCAACCAAAACAAGCCAAAAAAGCATAATAAACTATTGCCTCAAACTAGTTGGAGTTGCCCCTATATGATCATTTGCTCCATTTTGTTCGTTTTTCTGTTACTTATTGAAGTATTAAATCAACTTTTGCTACTTCATCTCACATATTTTCAGTCTACCTCTTCCTTCCTTGATCCTATTATTTTGAATCCACCCACTTTTCCTCGCACACTTATGCAGTAATTTAGAGACAATGATAAAATACCTGCATTTGAGAGCCTAGTTACTTCAGCTTCAGCATGACAACTGAACTCCTTTGTGTTCCCTTGCACATATTGGTTAAGTCGATCTTTCAATATCTGGGCAAGCTTTTCTTCTCTCTCCTTCTGAACAACCTATGGTAAAACAAATTTGCAATAGGCTCAGGAAAGACTTAGGGTACAGTGAAAATGCTTCATCACTAGAACTAAACACAAATCTGATTTTGTTTTGCACAGAGAAACAAACTGGTTTGTTCACAATGTAATGGTATCATAATTTCATAGAACAACCAGATGATGGAACCCACTGCTGTTACAAGTTCGCATGGTCAGGTTGATGATAAGCGATGAAATGCTAGAAAAAGTGTACCCTCATTTTTTCTTGTAGTTTTTTTGTATCAAACTGTTCTCCCTCTGTGAAAATGTCTAATGAAGCCATCGAAGCCATGGCAAGCTGTCCTATGTAGTCCTCAAAAAGTTCACTACCAAAAAGCATTGCAAAAATTGCTGCAGGATCAATAATTGCTTCACTGCAAGTAAACAGTAATGATCATAAGTGAAGGTCAAAGCAAACCAGAAAATTGTCAAGATTTACATGAGTAGGAAAGTACATTTTATTTTTATAATGTTGAAAATTATTTAAAGAATGTGTTTCATATATAATTAAGGATGCGTTATTATTTATCACATTATGAATATTACTGGTGAATATTTAAAGAATTGTGTTGGGTAATAAATGCCATATCATTCACATATTTATACTTGTTAAAATCAAACAGAAACAGGATGATGATTTAGGGTGGCCCAAACTCATCCTCCTTCTGCTACCTTTGGTGGGGGCAAGTAGATAAAACCCAATGGAATGGGTGAAATTGCCATCTCAAAGAAATGCATGATTCACATCTTATAGACCTTGACTTCACCTACTCAAAGATTAAGAAGAAGAAACTAACGTTGAAATTCCAGATTTCCCATAAGCATCATATGCTTGCCGTTGAGCAGGATCACTCAACACTTGGTATGCCTCCCCCAAAACCTGAATTCAAATGAACAAGACTTCAATAAGGCATTAAAAAACATATATCCAACAACGTTATTTTTCCTGCTGATCTTTTAAACGTGTATTCCCCCAATAGTCTGGTTAAAGGAAGTAAACAAGAGATTAGAATAACATACAAAGAAACATGAGTTTGCACTTCCATATTTTATACAAGCACTTCTAAGTTCCACAAGCCCAAAAACTGACAACAGTTTCTCATACCAATTAGCTATGAATGTTGAACTGAATCTCCATGGTAGTTGGAGTACTTTTTGTAAGATTTTATTTCATTTCTATGATTGTTAGTACAAGTTTTACTTGCAAACTGGTGGCGAATGGACATAAAACCATGATGGATTTTGCAGCAAGGGTATAGGAGAAAGTATGAGCATGTTTGGTATGGTGATTTAACAATTAAACCACGAGCAAAAGGTCAATTGCAATGGGGTCATTGAAGGAGAGGGAGAAGAAAGCAAATAAGTTTGAGCTGCAATATAGTTCAAAGGAAAAGGAGCCAAGCTAATCCAGTAGTATTCAAATATTCATGGAGGAAATAGAACACTGTCTTCATACTAAAAAAAGTTTCTCATAAGTAAAGGAAAATGCAACTTGCCTGGAAATTTTGTGCAGCAAGAGGATCATTGGGATTTTTATCTGGATGAACCTGTCGTGCCTGCAAGCCAAAAAAAAGGAGGCAAAAAAAAAAAAAGAATTAACAAGGAAATCACAATAGACGCAACATGTGGAAGATATAAAAAAAAGGGGAATGGGACCTGATGAATATTGAACGCGAAGCCAAATATAAGAGCAGAAAGACAGTCATAGGAGTGAATTATCAATTTAGAATTTTTAAAAAAAATCCAGATATAAAAATAAGACAAGCAACAGATCCAGTCCAACTCTAGAGATCTACATGGCATGTATTTTCACAAAAGTAGAGATTAGAATGATATGCAATCGCAAAGGTAGCTAGAAATTGAAATTGGAAATGGCAAGGGAAGAATCTACCTTGATGTAATAAGCTTTCTTGATCTCCGCCTCAGTGGCGGTGGGGCTGACCCCAAGCACGTCGTAGTACTCTGTCTCCTTTACCATTTTCCGTCGGATCGATCACTACTTTCCTTGTTCTTGTGTTTATAAGAGGTATGTGCTTATGTAGTAGTATTAACAAGGGAAAATTACTGCAAATAGTAATCTTATCCCAACCGAATTTCTCTCAGATTAACCAATTAATCGATTTATATGGAAGAAGACAAGCTTAAATATAACTACTGCAAATTTAAAAATAAAATGAGAAAATACAGTAGATGGATGAAAGGACCGATAACAATGACGAAAAAGAAAAGAAGAAGAAGAAGAAGAAGAAGATGATGATGATAAACAGATTCTCCTTGTTCGCTTGCTGTTGCGGTAAAAAAAGTCGCGCAGGCCGAAGGTCATATCGCTTTGCTATACCCAAATTTCGCAGCCATCTTTTCATTTTTTTGGCGTTGACTACCACCTGCCTTCCGCGTTGTACCATTTCGTTCGTAGCATACTCGTATGCTTCTACCGTGTTGTACCTTCTAATCCCTATTGGGCATACTTTTATCGGTTTTTTCAGTTTTTGTATTTTCCTCTTTCCGACCCTTGTAGTAGTATATACGATTGAGATTATCAATATACAATATATTAAGAAATCAAACAATAAATGATGTTTTAAAAAGGAAATAGAATTATATTTTAAAATTGATGAAAAAGAAAAGCAAAATTTATTTGTATAGGACAAAAGGAGTAATTATGTTTATTGGTTGTATTTATTAGTTTATTGGTTGTACTTATTATTATTAGTAGTAAATATTTCTTTTTATCTTAATTATGAGGTGTTCAGTATCATGTATTTAATTTTATTAGTTACATTTTTTATTACTAGATTTAGTGATATTGTTTAAATTATTATTATTATTATTATTATTATTATTATTATTAAATTTGTTCTGAAATGTTGCTGTTTGGACATGTTACTAAGTATATTTAATTTTTTTATGGTTATTTTCTTACCATAACTATATTTTATTTAAATTTATTTGTATTTTACTATTTGTTGGCTTTACCTTATAATTTGGTCCAACTCTTGTTTATTATTTATTTTCCATCCTTATATTTAGATTGAAGGAAAATAAAAGAAAGAAAATATATCACTACAAATTTACAATATTGTCCTTTTGTATACTTCATATATAGATAGTATCATAATTTAACTAATAATTTATAATTTTACATCATCTTCTTATTTATTGAATGTCTGATATTTGAAAGTGAGTCATGTCTCGACTAATATTATTATTCATGCTATTCTGAATTATTTAAGTTAATAATAATTTCTATTTTCACCTTCAAAAAGATTTCAACAACTCAATGATAAAATAAAATTTGATGTTCTAAAGTCCAAAGCCTTATTTAAAATAAATTATTATATTATTAATATTTGGCTCTGCATTATGGGGGCATTTTTACAATCGGTAAATGGACAGTATTAAATTTATGGATATCTTATAAATTACTAATAACACACTGTCACGACCCGTTTCCGCGGGCCGGACCGGCACTAGAGCCCAGGTAAGCTTAAGGCTCCCGAGGCCCGTAGTAAGCCTGAATCACTAAAATTTAAATTTACAATATTGCTTCCTTTTTGCCTATACTTGGCATTATTTATAGACCTAGTCATACAATAATTTATACATAAGTAATTATATGGAGAGGTTTTACATCATTCTTCTATTGTGATTGAATGTCCCTGATATTTTGACCATAGTGGAGGTCATGTGTCTCGAACTAATATTTATTATTTCCCATGCACTATTCTGGAAGTTATTTTAAGTTAATAATTTTAATTTCCATTTTCACCTTCAAAAAGATTTCTTAACAGTAACTTTCAATTGATAAAATAAAATTTTGATGTTTCTAAAGTCTCAAAGCCTTATTTAAAATAAATTATTAAGGAAATTGGATTAATAATTTTGTCTCCCTGGCAATTATTTCCGGGGGGCCATTTTTTACAATCGGTAAATAGGAAACAGTATTAAATTTATGGATATGCTGTATTAAATTGAGGCTGTAATTAACACACTGTTGGGCACGACCCGTTCCGCGAGCCGGACCGGCACATAAGAGCCCAGGGTAAGCTTAAGGCTCCACGCCCGAGGCCCGTAGTAAGGGCGCTGAATCACTACCAAAATTTATTATTTCAAAATATAAAATTTTCAAACATTCAGCTCCATATTATTAAAAAAAAAAATAAACCTCAATTTCTTATTTTTTGGGAAAGTTCTCGGCCCCCAAATCTTATCAGCTACAACATTTCGCGACCGGTTCGGACCCCAAGGGATATGAGGTACATCAACAATTTTAGCTTCCAACTAATGCGGTCTCACATAATCCCTATATCGTCTATGCCTCCCTAATACAAAACGACTAATTTGTACGCACAAGGTGTCTACCAATCTGCGGAATCCAGTCCCCACTAACTAAATAGCCCCTAGGTACATAGATTTTATAATATTCGTAGATACATAGCAAAAAATATTATTGGGTCAGGAAAAATTAATTCCTCCTATCTAGCTCTGCGACGAGGACAAAGCTTAACCGAATCTTAAAAAGAGAAACTTACTTCCTGAAAAATTAAACAAGGTATGTGAGCTTTCTAAGGAAGTAACTATTATTGACACAACACACACATTTCACACATACTGTGTAAATATACTTCAATCTAGTCATACCGACTAGTTTATGCTCACGCAGGCCAGTCACACAACCAATAGATTAGTGCGGGTACGCCACATAACAACCAATATTAACATACTTCATATTAATCCACATCAACGTAGGAAATAGGTCGCGCGGAGTGGGAGTCACCGAACCCCACGATGGAGCCGTCCTCCCCACATAGGCTCTATCCATCTCACATTTTTTTGGCTACCAGGAAGCCGCATCCCCATTCCACTGGCTCTAGGAGGCCGACAAATCCCCCGGTCGTAATCCTTCACTTGACCTAGCCCTCTCATTGGATTTTTCTATCCTCTCTTTTCTTTTCATGATCCAACAGGAGGCAATCGAACCCGGATACGTCTGCCAGGTCATAATCTTAGATTCATAGAGGGCCGCTCACATCAGGAGGCCACACTGCGGGGCTGCGCATCAAAGTTCTAGAGTTATCCGGTTGCCGGACCCAATAAAGAAGACCAACCGTGTGGTTAATAGTAGGAGCGCTCCGGTAACAGAACCTTAGCCGCTGAACACGAGCTCTGGGGCGCGATCTCCCATTTACCCGGGCTAACAGAAACAGAATCAGGGATCCATATAACAAATTCGGAGAGTATACAGAAATTTAGAATCAGGATCCGTATAACAGAGAAACAGTCTCACAAACCCATGGTGAACCCACTTCATCCCAACTCCACAACAAACAAAAGCATAGCATAAACACAACACAATAAATCAAAACATTGCAATCAAGTGCAGACATAATTGAATACAGCCCCTTGGACAACGTAATAAAATGACACCAACTAGACAAAAACCATTCTCAAGTGGCAATTAAATAAATAACAAATAATTAGTAAGACATTAAACAATACGCCATCATAATAGTTAAATTATTAATTTAATGGAGAAATAATAATAAAATAATTGAATAATTCAAATGAATAATAATAGAAAATAAGATTAAAGAATAAGAGCCACTCTTATTTAATATCCTTTATTAAGTTATTAGCAATTAAACTAAAATAAACTTTTAATTATGTCATACTTAAAACAGTCTAAGTTTCTATGAAAATCAGTTTAAAGATCAATCTCTTTATGTTGAGGACCGGAACTAATTCATAGGAGGGCCAAAGCACTATGTAGGCAGACTCAATGCATCTCTTATTTTATTTTTCTACCGAAATTTATTTTTATTTTCTACTGAAATTTATTTTATTTTCTACCGAAATTTCGGCAACATCTCCCCTAAAAATTGAACTATTTACCTGTTAAAATATCAACAATATATTAATAATTCCAAACCACACGGCCCATCCATCGGGCAATCAATCAATTCAATTTTTCTCATCCTCCATCCGAATAACAATATCAACACTACATTCAACCTTAACATCACCCCCTACATCCATAATTTATAAATTAAAATTACATACAATATAATCTACCTTCAATCTACACTTAAATTCCATAAATTTTATTATTACCAAAATTTCCTAATAAATAATACATTTATTCCCTATTTTAATACGGAATTTTAGTTTTTATTTTAGCAAACTATTCATTTTTATTAATCCAAGGAGATTACTTCAAGTATTTAATTGAAATCAATAACTATTTTGAATTCATTTTAAACTAACTAAATAACTAAAATTACTAACTAAATATTTTATTTATCAATAAATTAATACTATTTAAATTAACTTAATTACTCAAGTAATTAAACTAATCAGTAGATCTAGCCAAATTAAATTAATTTAACTAATCAAAATTACTAAATTAAATTAATTACTCAAGATTACTAAAATCAATTACTAAAATGAAATTAATCAACTAAAATTATTAGAATTAAACTAACTAAAATCATTAATGAAATTAAATTAATTAACGAAAATGTAGTTAAATTAATTTATACCCCGAAAAATGTAGTTATTAACTCTCCAATTTAGGTGACCCCAGAATATATGTTGTTTTTTCCTGTTGAATTCTTTTGCTTAGATCGGAAATTGTGCTGCGCATGTCTGCGCATTCGGAATAATAGAGCAGTGGCTAGTTTGGTTGGTCGAGAGGACGTGCATAGGAGCGGCGGGCTAGGGCATGGTAGGCGATGGCGCGACGAGCTTGCGTGTAGGTGGCCTCTCGGTGGATCGCATTCCACCTCTTGCTGGACGCGGTTCTGGAGCTTCCTGGGCAGGTGATGCAAACACGCAGGTGCAGGCAAAGAAAGAACAGCAGAAATAAGAAAAGAAAGAAAAGAAAAGAAAAGAAAGGAAGAGAGAAGAAGGACAAAGAAGACAGAAGCAGGAAGGCGCTGCTTTTCGCATGGTGAGGATAGAGGAAGAAGAAGGGAAAAGAGAAAAGGAAGGAAAAGAAAAGAAAAAAAAATCTTGGGGCTTCTAGACCATTCCGGTTCGATTTGAACCGGTTTGGTCTAATTCAATGTCTTGGCTCGATTTGCTTGGTTCTCGGGTTTTTCACTTGGTTTTCCAATTATTCGTGTGGTTTTCGAAAAATCAATTTGATTTCTGAATCCGGTTCAATTCATTTGATTATTTTAATTAAGTTCCGTAACATTTCCTCCTTTAACCAAAATAAAATATAAAAATAAAAATAAACTATAATTAGTAAGGAGATTTGTTTTTAGGGTAAATATATATATATTAATCGCTGGGATTTTTCCGCTGGTGGGATTTTATATTATTTCTCGAAAACTTTAACCTGGTTTAACGATTTTTCGAAATTTTCGACATTTTTGTATTTTGGGTTTGGGCCCAACTCGTAACTTTGGGCTCAAATTTAGAATTGCTTCGATCTTTAAACCTCATACTATCAAAAATTCAGATTTTTGATCGATCTTTACAACCCATACTATCAAAAATTCAGATTTTTGATTTAATAAAATTTCCTAAGTTTTGAAAATAAAAATTCGGGATATTTCACACACACATACATGTATCTGTATATCTATTTTCAATTTGAAAAGACTTAAACTCAGTAGATCATCCAAAAAAATTACAATTAAAGTGTGCTTTACTTGTAGAAAATAAATTTATACATAGTAAATTGACTGATTTGAACATTATTTTTATTTTTCAAAAAGCTTTTCTAGAAAATGAAACTTTTATATTTTTTTTTTCCTGTGGGGTTTATGTTTCTAAATGAATTCAAATGGTAATTTATAGAAGTTTACTAGAAAAAGTAATTTATTAAATTTGAAAAAATTGAAAATTAAATTAAACTTATTAGAAATTTAAAATAAAAATTACATCCAAAATATAACATATTAATTAAGTATACAACATAAAATTCTAATCCTCAAACTATGCTTTTACTAGTGTACAATTTAAGTTACAGCTCAACATATCAACTAATATTACCGCCATAGCCATTAAATAATCTTTTATTCTTTTCTTTTTTTCCAAACAAAATAATTTTTTATGTTATTAATTTTTCTTTTATTTTCTTTAAAATAACTTTTATTTATCTTTAACAGGCACGACCTTCCAGTTAACAGTTTATAAAAAAGGTGAAATCGAAACTGAACCGCTTTTAAACGGTTTCTCAGACGGTTTCGAAACTGCAAATTTCGATTTTTTTTCGATTTCGAACCAAAATTAAATAATATATTTTAAAATTTTTAAAATAATTTTTAAAGATTTATAGGTAGAATAAATAATTAAAATAAATATTACTGTTGAAAAAAACTAAATCAATTTAATAAAAATTCTTAGAAATTACTTAAAAAAAATATAATAAAATAAAAAAATAAATTGGGTGTTTCTTTAAAAACATGTTTTTCACGGTTTTAAACCGGAACCGCCAGTTTCAGTTTCAAAAAATGAAGAACCGGAATTGAACTTTAAATTTACGGCTTCAATTACGGTTCGATTTCAAATGTTCAGTTCTGATTTGAAATTGAACTATGGTCATACCTAATTTTTAAGACTGCATATATATTCTAAATATTTTTTTTTGACTAGAACATAATTCTAAATTTATTCTTTATTCAAAAAAAATCATATACAATATTAAAAATGAGATTATGAAATGCTCTTTAATTATATAACAACATATAAAAACATAACAACCAATTTCACTTCAAATTAAATGATGCAAAATTAGTTGTAAATACAATAAAATTAGGACTTTAAAAAAATGTATATATTAAACAAAAATAGGAATAGAAATATGTATATATAAAGAGAGATTTAGAAAGTTGATAATTGAAATTTCATAATTATACAACTCTTTATGAATTGAAATTTACAATAAAAAGTTATATATGAATATTGAAATTTCTAATTAATATCTATATATTTATTGTTTGTTCGTTAAAAAGTAATTGATATAATGCAAAAAATAATTGATATAATGTGTTGATGTCCCTTTAAATTTTAAAAATAATAATAATAAGTAAATGTAATTTGATTTAAAGATGAAAAAGTTATTTAAATATTTTTAAATCTATGACTTATATTTAAAAGTTTTAATTTATACCGCAGTTTTGCCCGTTTTTGCAATAATAATATCAATATAATAAAGCATCAACACAGCAGGGGAGGAATTAGAGGAGAGGAGAAAGTCGTTGAGCTGAAAAGCATGTCAAAGTCAGACGCAGTAGCGAATGGCCTAGCGGGAGCTGGTGGTGGTATTATTGCCCAGATAATCACTTATCCTCTCCAAACTGTAACTCTTTCTTTCTATCCTCTGTTCTGTGTCTGTTTGTTTGTGTTTTTTTTTTTTTTTTAATCGAATGAAAATTTCCAGGTAAATACACGCCAGCAAACGGAGAGACTGGCCAAGAAGAAGAGGAAGGATGATGAAGGCCTACACGGTGATTCTCATCCTCAACGCCCTGCAACTGGCACTCTTTTCCAAGTACTTCAGGTACCAAGTACCATTTACCCAACAAACTAGTCCAGGATTTTTTTTTTTTGAACTTAAATAGTTCCGAAATTTGATATTCTATTTTGATATTTCAGATGTCCAATTAATGGATCCTAGTTTTACATTACCAGGTCATTAAAGCCGAAGGTTGGGGTGGGCTTTATAGCGGCCTGAAACCTTCTCTGTTTGGAACTGCTGCTTCTCAGGTCAGTCCTGCGTCGCTAAATTCGTATTGCTTCTGTACTTTGTTCCTCTTTGTCCACATTTTATATTCATTTCAATGTTATATATATGTATCCTACTGTGAGTCTGTAACGATTATCTTCAATTTCAAATTAACCTCGCATTTCCTAGATCGCCTTGCCTTTTAACGACTAATGCACTTGGATATGAGTAATGCTTTTTACACCCACTTTTAGATGCTTTGTGCTCATGTAACATTCGAGGCCAGAGACTGAAATTCCTTTTGCAGTAGTTGTTAATGATTTGTCCTGTCAATTTCTCTTTGACATCTGCTGCTGATCTTGCATGCTTTAATAATCTTGTAAAGCTCGTTGAGGGATTTCATGTTGCAATGACTGAACAAGTACAACACATCTAGTGTGTCAGAGAAAAAAAAACGTGCCCAGTTCAAATCCATCTACGATGGAAATGACCACTCAGTAAAGATCTCTTTTCCTATAAATTTTGCTGACATTGTCTATGACAACTAAGCTTTAATTCCAAATTAGTTGGTGCCATTTCCTTTTATAAGAAGTTCAAAATAAAAAGTTTTAGATTATTTTTGGATTTGATCAATTGTTGGTCATAATCCTATAACCTTCTTTTGCATGCTGCCAGGGAATTTATTACTACTTTTATCAAGTTTTCAAGAACAAGGCTGAGGCCATTGCAGCTGCTCACAAAGCCAAAGGGCGTGGAGATGGTACTGTCGGCATGTTTTCTTGGCTTGTTGTGGCTGCTTTAGCTGGGTGAGTGCCCTCTTAATTAGTGGCTGCTTGTATTAATTAGACAGTGTCAAAGATGGACCATTATCAAGGACAAATACATAGCTATTTTGCAATTGCATTTAGGATTGTACCCAGCTTTAGCAATAATAAGGAGAGGTAATGGTGTCTGACTCTTTCTTATCATAATTTTGCAGGTCATTGAATGTATTGCTGACAAACCCAATATGGGTTCTTGTGACTCGTATGCAGGTGCCTGTGGATATTTTCCCATAAATACAATTATTTTCTTGGATTTAATTTTAATTTTTCCAGTGATTTCGTGTAAAACCACTTTGGACCATACACTTCTTCGTTCGGTTCATAATCTGGATCCTTTGTGCATTCTGACTGCACGGCACCAAAATAAGATATCTTGAATGTCACTTTTCGACACAATTGCACACCAATTCAAATGAAGAAACAAGGTAACATAAAAAGATGACGCCAATACAGGTACCCACCTGCAACATTGCGTGGCTTCTATTCTGGTGGGCAGAGCTGGGTTTTCTGGTGTTTTATTCTGATTTTGAGTGATTGGATTTCATTTGTTTACTATGATATTATGTAATTGAAACTCTACTGGCTGTCGAAACATTTATATAGCTAGATACCTGTATATAACCATGGTATCCATGACCAGATGTACCATCACCAGAATTTCAATTGATTGACAATTATAATTTTGCTTCATAATTCTGAGACAGATGGACTAGATTGAGCTCATATTCTTTCAATGCTTTATCAACTATTGTTGTATTGCATTGATGCAACCTTTCGATTCTATGTTTACATGTTGGAGTGGAATGGAGATTATTCTTGACATGCTACATTTTGATTCTAGACACATACCCAAGCAGAAAGAAAAATTGTGGAGGGAAAGAAAGAAGCTTTATTAAGGGAAGTTTCTGAAGGTGGCTCAATAAGTCCATCTGTACAGGTCAAATTGGCTGAACTTGACACAACAAAACCTCGTCCTTATGGTACTTTACACGCGGTTAGTAACCATTTCTTTCCTGATCCTATGTTGTTCCATTCATGCTTATTTATTTACATTGAACTTGAGATGGCATGGTTCTTATTAGTCTTCTTTTTCCCTTGCTATGTGAACCTTGATGGAATACTGGTCATGATTTTTTGCAAACAACACACTCTATTATATGCAGATTAACGATACATTCCTTTCATTCTCACATCAAACATGCTGTTAGTTTTAATGTTTTAGATGCTAATTTTAGTTTGTCTTGTATTTGTATGTATTGCAAGGCACATGAAGTTTATAATGAAGCTGGAATTACTGGATTTTGGAAAGGCATCATTCCTACGCTTATTATGGTTAGCCCAATTTTGATCACCATTATGTATGAAGTCCACTGAGTTACTCCTGTTATGATTAGGAATTATGCATCATAGGTATGCAATCCATCGATCCAGTTCATGATTTATGAGACATCATTAAAGCATCTAAGGGCAAGACGTTCCGCAAGCAAGCGGGGGTATAAATATCCTACTGCTCTACAGGTATGTAGTTGCTTTCAGTGTTTCAGGTTTTTCTAATCTTATGTCAGTCTTTTGCAAAATATTTGGGTTTGTGAACATAGAAAATTTCTTGCGATGCGTAAAGGTCTTCTTACTAGGAGCCTTGGCAAAGCTGGGAGCAACTGTCTCAACATATCCCCTGTTGGTTGTCAAGGTAATTTCACTTATTTTATATTATTATTAAAAAATAAAACTATAATGAAGAGAATGAGTACAAATCACCGGTCGTTATTGCCAAAACCAGAAAAATAGCTGCTCCTTTTATATAATATTGGATATAATTTACCTGCCCATCAGTCTTGTCATGTGAAATATCTTAAAAGATTTACACTGGCATCTTCATTTGCAATAACTCACAAGATTTATAGGCTGTCCTTAGATAGATGCTCATGTTCTTTGTTTTCATCAGGAATTAATATTGACTTTCCTGCTTGCATTAACATGTATTTGAGAAACTGATTTTCTACAGATTGCTCTTCCGGACTCTTTTTAACTTTTGGGACAACACATGCACACACAAAACACTGCTCTGTATGTATAGCTCAAGTCTCTTATTTCTGTGTTGCCTCATTTGCAGTCGAGACTTCAAGCAAAACAGGAGATTGGCGGAAATACTTCAATGAGATACTCAGGTTTGCTTTAGAGAGGCACACATAATTGGCCATTTATAAATATCTATAAGTTTTGACACATATTGCACATCAACTCAACTTTTTAGTCTTTTGAACTTTGCTTCGTTCTCATCTTATAATAAATTGGTTTTTGTATTTTTTACTTCCTCCTATTAATTTTTTGATCTAGATACATGTAGTACTTGCTTTATTTTTTTCTGAAAAATATGCTTTGCTATGGTGCCTAGTGAAAGATAGAGCTATGAGTTGAAACTTGAAAGTCAATGATGTATAGTGGTTAGCAACAAATTCCACTCTTGTAGATTTCCCTAAAAATATTAGCATTTCTAATTCTTGTCATATTTCAATTTGTTGGAAATTAAGGGATTGCTCCTCCATGTGTCATCTTTCGCCATAATTATATAACTAATCGAAATTCATGGATTAATCTGTTGAAGTTGCAAGTTCATTTTCGCACAGCCTGCAGCTTCAGTTGCTTTTGCTCCCCTTTGGATTGTCAGTTTGACATGGTTGAACTTTGAGAAGCACACAATTTTCACTTTCCCTCCTCTTTGTTATAACAAAGGAAGTTGATGCCTCTGATGTTATAAATGCAGGTACTCTTGATGCGATAATTAAAATGATCCGTTATGAAGGGTTGCCTGGTTTTTATAAGGGGATGAGCACAAAGATAGTACAGAGTGTTTTTGCAGCTTCTGTGCTTTTCATGGTTAAGGAGGAGCTTGTTAAGGCTTACACAGCGCTGGTAGATAAGAGCAAGAAAGTTATATTAAATTTGAGTAATTGATATCATCATTGTCTTTGGTCATAATTTATAGCTCACAACTTGGCAACTATGATATTCATCATGGATATCTGATTATGTCTTTTTTAGCTCCCTTGTTTGATTCTTCCATGAGCAGAACAGAGATCTGGTGGTTTTGGAATGATGATCAGGAGAGGTTGGCCATTAGAAGGGGGTGCTGACTTATTAATGAGACAAGCTAAATATGTCATTATCTTCACATTCATAATGTATAATTGTAGACGTTGGATCTCCTAGTGTTTTGTTGATGCAGCTCTTTTCTGAAAAAGGTTTTTTTAAATTCGTTTATTTTAGAGTAATAAATAATTGTGCATTGATATTCCCGTACATAGTCATGGCTCTCAGAAAAAAATGGTGGACGGAGACTTCCCTATTCATATCATTCCTATCTCCTAGTTTCGTTCTTCAGATTGTATGAATTAAGCATCTTAATTGAATTCCTCCAAATTAAGATAATTATTCTATTTAAAAATGTCCCCGTGTCTGGCTTATTTTCTAAAATTTTTCCAGTTATTTCTAATTTACTGATCTCATTTTTTACTTTGTAAAGAAAAGAAAAAGATGCTAAAAAGTTAAAAAAAAAAAAAAAAAGAAAAGAAAAAAAAATCACATTCTCCTGTCCGACCAAGCTACTTCAATCTATATATAAAGGTTCTTTCTTTTTGATTCATAAGAGAGAAAAGATATAGATTTTTCTATTAACAAGATGGAACACTCAATATTTAAAGGACCTGAGTTCTTCTTTCACTGAGCAAAACATGATTTTGTTAATTCTTACCAATCATTTATTCATCGGAGAAAATTTTAAAAATAACTTTTAAATTGTTAATTGAGATGAAAATATTGTTATTAGAAACACGCGAGCTACTTAGGCAAGATTGTGAGTTTTAGTTTGTTAAATCTATTGAAGGATAAAATTTGATAGTATAGGAGGGATATGCTCTGGTGACACTGACAGAAACATGCGTGAACAAAGCGAAAGGTAACGAAAGAAAAGGGTGTCACTAATGGAAAAGTTTCCACTCTCCTGCCGTTGAAAACAGCCAAGCGAACAGAGAAAGACATTAAATAGCAGCTCAATTCAGTTGGGGACTTGCGGTTTTCAGAATTTCAAGTCTTTCTATCACTCGTATTATTAAGTATTAGTATTATTATTATTTTTGCATTTATAACAAACAAGCTTCTCTTCCATCCCTCTCTTCTTTCATTCTCACCTAATCTCTCTCCCAACAAATCTCAAACTCACAAAAGACAAAATAAAAAAAAGAGAAAAAAAAAAGAAGGAAAAAGTCAGTAAGAAATACCCTGAAAGTCTTCAACTTTGCTGCAGAAAGCTATGGTACTTGGTTCAGTTGCTTGGACGATCTCTTGATTTTTCTTCAATCTTACATCTCTAATTCCCCCCAAAGGCTAAAGCTTTATACAATCATGGGGAATCGTTTCGTTTGCATGACAAAAAAGGATGCCAAAGATAATCATGGATCGAGAAGCAAGAGGTTGGGCAGGTCCCAGAGAAAGTTGTTGGCAGAGGAAGAGTTCCTGCACAGGCAAGCTCTTTCTATGGCAATTCATCAACACCAATTGTCTCAGAGATTTGATGGATCCATGTCCAGGAGGATTGGCTCCACCAGCTCTCGAAGACGAAATCTATCTGATCCTTTCTCTAACGGAAAACAGGTCTTGATTGGGACACCTTATTTTATGCATGTTACTTATTTTATTTCTTTTTGTCTGTCTGAAATTAGTTCCTTCATGATTGGATCTGTACTCTGCAACTGAAAGTTTGTCTTATGATTAATTATGGGCTCAAGTGTAAAGTTAAAAGACAAGGTATATAAAGATGGTCTAGTTTCAACGTGAGAGTGATATATATGTGTATTTAAAAACAAAAATGGAGGAGGGAAAAGTATTCTTTTTTCTCTTTTTCTTTTTTAAACACTTCAAAAAGGTTGCATCAGGAAAAGTATGGAAACTGGAAAAGGTAATTCTTTATGGTTTTAAAGATGAGCCAATATGTAACTCTTTTCAGATGTTTCTGGTTTGTTTCCTAATTAAAATAGATAATTCACACAACATATGTAACTAATCCCACTCTCATAATTGTCGACCTTTTTGGTGAAAAGCGGCTGAATCCCTTTAAAGCCCCCCGTTTATAAAGGTTAATTCATGGGGTTATGCAAATTTGTGTTTGTGTTGCTACTTCTTTACAGGTGCCGGACCTTCTGGAAAGTATCAAGCTAAAAAAGTTTATTCTAATACATGGAGAAGGGTTTGGGGCTTGGTGTTGGTACAAAACGATTGCGCTGTTAGAAGAAGCAGGGTTGGTTCCCACTGCTATAGACCTAATAGGATCTGGTATTGATCTGACGGATACAAACACTGTGGCAACGTTGGCAGATTATTCAAAACCTTTGATTGATTATTTGGAAAATGTTCCTGAGGATGAAAAGGTTGGGGATTGAAATGGTATCGTAGTGACTTAACATGCAAGTACTCGGCCACTTTATACCTTGCAAAATTTCTTGATTCATAGTTCTTATGCAGGTTATTTTGGTTGGTCATAGCAGTGGAGGTGCGTGCATCTCATATGCACTAGAGCATTTTCCACACAAGATCTCAAAAGCTATTTTTATCTGTGCTACAATGGTGTCTGATGGTCAGAGGCCTTTTGATTTGTTTGCTGAAGAGGTACATTGTCATGCTTACTTGCCAGTCCAAATAGAAACCGGTTAATGGTAGTTAAACTTACAATGCCATGCCATTACAATGTTTTATGTCATCTGAATTTAGTCAACTGCGTCTCAAATAGTTTGATAGATTCTGTATGTATTTAATTAGTTGATTTTTTACATCGAGAATACCTTATCTTAGTATTCATAATGCAAATTTCTGCTGTTAATTGCAAAATCCTAATATTTCCATTGAATGTGTGGGGTAGAGCTTCCATGTTATCATCCAGTGAATCATCTTAAACTTATTTTGTCAAAAGAAAATTTAAGGTCTTTATTTTGATAAGAAGTCAACATTGAAGTTTCTTGTTGGTTGCTGAAGTTGTCGTGCTTCTAAGACAATCTATCCACTAGAGTAATCATAGTTTGCAAGGTAGCAATGTTTTTTCAAAAGATGAGTGAATTATGGATTGTATTCTTACCGTATTAGAGTAGAATCAGCTGAGTAACTATTTTGAAATTTTTGTTTTAACTTTAAAAAACAAGTAGGATGTGCAATTCTAACAAGTCAATGTAACTACTTGAAATCATCGTCTTGATCTTTGAAATTTTGCGCACATAGTTTATTTTCAGTACAGTATTATTGCATACTCAACAGCGTCCTTAGTGTATATGACATGACTCCACTCCTAGGAAAGTAGCTGCATAGCCTGTAACCCCGGTCTTCACTGAAGGCACATTCTTAAAGGAATTTGCTCAAGTAACCTTATGTAGAGGATTTTTTCTTTTTCTAAAATGAAAAAGTTAACTTGGGATGCCTCCCTTAACACGCTTTTGAAGCTTTTAGGACCTTATATGATAATGGGTTATCTAACTACTTCTCCCTGCATCTCAATATCCAAAATCTCATATGGTCACCTTCCTTATAGATTTCCTGAAAATTATTCACAGAACTTCAGAATTTTGGACTTAATTGGTGGCTGGGCTTGCACATACTTTGGGTTCCATTTGGTTTGTGAAATAAAAATAGAGAAAGAATGAAATAACTATTCATAGGCCATCGAGTGTGTTCCACTAATTTGTAGAATAGCTTCTCTTTTGGACTAAACTACTTCAGCTATTAAACATCACAACATTTTTTTTCCCTCTATACTATTTCATGCTATTCTATGTCTCTAAGTTCTCACTAGAAGTGTTTTCAGCTTGGATCTGCTGAACGTTTCATGCAAGAATCAGAGTTTTTGATATATGGGGATGGTAGAGACAAGCCTCCTACAGGATTTATGTTCGAGAAACAGCAAATGAAAGGTTTATATTTCAATCAATCATCAACAAAGGTATGTTCAAGTTCAATCTGATCACTTTGTCTGAAATCTATTAGTTTCTGTAATCCTTTTATTTTACACATAATCTCCAACTAGAAGCAGTTTCACTTTTGTGGGATATCGCCTGTCTTGGCCCATGATCCTTCCAACTAATTTGAATGATCTCTTTGTCGTCTCACATTAAGGAAATGGATCTTGTTTTAATTTATAATAAAAGTATGCATGGGGTATGTATCGACCCAAGTGGTAAACTGTTTGAGTCTAGAAAAGCTTTACCTAGTATGGGCTCGGATCGAATTTGGCTCAGTAGTGTCTTCATTGTCCTATTACTATTGCTAGTAAAATTCAAACTAGTATTTGGTAATCCTCAGGATGTTGCTCTGGCCATGGTTTGTATGAGACCCATCCCACTGGGTCCTATAATGGAGAAGCTCTCACTATCCCCTGAAAATTATGGAGCTGGAAGGCGGTTCTTCATTCAAACATTGGACGATCATGCTCTTTCACCGGATGTCCAAGAAAAGTTAGTGAGGGAAAATCCACCAGAAGGAGTCTTCAAGATTAAAGGAAGTGATCACTGTCCCTTTTTTTCAAAGCCACAGTCGCTGCACAAAATCTTACTGGAAATTGCTCAAATTCCATAGAATACATATTTTGAGGAATTAAGATAAGTTATCTGTCTTTTTCCAGTTTGATATACATAGCTTTTAAAATATGTTAGGCTATATTAATTGTGGAACGTCGGGGCAATTTTTCCTACTTTTAGTTAGTTCTTCATCCTGCAAACTGTGGGTATAGAATTAAAATGTATGGGTTGAGGTCCTAGGGGATCACACCTCATTATGTTCTTTTATGCTGGTTAATTTAATATTTACTGTATTTCTTATGTTACTTGCTTCCCACAGTAATTTGCATTTTTATTGCTAAATTCTAGACTGGCCGTGCACTTACAATGAATGTGAAAGGGAGAAAATAATTGATTGGCATTGAATAATTTAGCAATAATATTATTTTATGCCTCCACAGCATGTGTCGCAACCACAAATCTTTTTATCTCAATATGTACTCTGATTTGATTACCAAATATGTGTTTATCCACTGTGAATCTGTTCAGCAAAATTAATTATTTTGGTGGCTATTAATTATTTTAATAGTATTTAATTATTAATTATTTTGAATAACTTTTCATGAAACACTAAAAGCTAAAAACTAACCGTTATATGAGTTGATTTTTTTTTTTTTCACAAAACGCTATCATAATCTCTAAATACAAACAACTTTTTAAGTAGCAGTTAACATTTTGATTGGTTCAAATGTTAACTGTTACTTAAAAAACTGTTATCGAACATAGCCTAAAAACCCCGATCTCAGGACTGAACGTTTCACCGTCCTTGTGGTCAAACAAAATAAAATGACCACAAAATAAAATGAGAAAATTCCTCGTAAAAGAAAATGAAAGAGAAAACATTGACTCAATCTCAAGATCTTCATTCATTTTCATGTCCTTGGCAAGCTAAAACCTATTGCATTATCAGGACGGGTCATCGGACGAATCAATTTCATCCTTAAATTCAAATGTAATACAAGGGATATATTCTATAGTTCCAAGGCAAATGCATTCAGCTAAATAAGATATGAGTTTTCCTCACGAAGAATATCAACATTCTTGATAACCTGGTGCAAATAAAGTCCTTTGCTAGTTCGAGTGCATTTTGACACTGGATCTGCTCTGTTCAATGGATCCCTCTGCTAGATAATCTCTACCAAATCTTACAAACGCTTCTAAGTTAATCAGATTACGGATCTCCCATTATGGGTAATAACATAATAATATTGACATGTAGAATAACAAACCATGAAGAACAAGGTATTTGGGTACTCGGTCTGAAGAAAACAGACACCCAGTGCTCAATCGGGAGAAGATGTCAGTGCACTATCATTGACAGAATGTGGACCAAGAGAATCTAAGAACAATATCACAGTGGAGTCTTCACCTGAATCAGAGGGTTGTACAGCATCAACATCTGAAGTACAATAACAAAAAGATCATAACATGACTTTCCACCAGAACTGACATCTTACTACTGAGAAAAGACAAGCAGCTTTCTTTTTCCCATATTTGCCAATAGAGGAAAAAGAAATCATTTTCTAGTTTAATCTGCCAAAGGGAAGCTTTTGGCCCTGGTTTTAAAAGACCAAAAGATGTAGGCATGAATCTTATGGATTGCACACAGTACTGTTTCTTACACAAACACCGGACTAGGTCACTTGTAGAGAGTGTGAGACGACAGCTGAGATGGGAGTTTCACATCCAAAACCTATAATCAAATAACAACACCACGACTCACACAGTTGAGATACTCCCGCTAACCTAATGTAAATTATTAACTAAAAATATTTATAATTTGGAACTAAGTGTGAGAGTCTTAAAGTGTATAAGCGACTCAATTCAAGTCCAATTGGCTAAAAGCTATAAGCTTACCAACTTAGTTAGTCCACGAACCAGAAGTTGATTTCTGAACCCACACTTGTTTCTGCAAATACATAGACACAGTTCAACAAATTGACAAAAAGTACAAGAGTAACATGATTCATGATGCTTAACATAAATATTCGTAGACCTCATGAACAGCATAGCTACTAGCTCCTCCTCTTCTTGTGTATTTCCACTCAGATGCAATCAAGGAGCTGTTATCCTTCAGTTTATGGACTGCCACATGATGTCCAAAACGTTTGTGGGATCCTGGATAAGTAAAACTCAAATGAAATTGTTAGAATCATATGAGCAACTCATAACCATTAAATAATGGTCAAGAAACAATTTCACACTTCTAGAAGCTGTCAGCTACACCATGACTGCTGCCAGCCCGCACACACAAAAAGGGGGGGAAGGGGGAACAGCATGATTTAAATTATTTACAAAGATTTTCTACTAAATGGTGTGCCTGTGCATTGTATGAGAAACTAGGTCTAATGGAACCCCAGCCATAACATTCAAAAATGGAATGCTGAGCCTACTGAAAATGCATGTCATTTTTCTTTTCTCCTCTAGTAATTAGAAAATCAGAGATATATAAACTGAGTTCACATGTTTCCACTAAAGAATAGTAAACAGCTGCATCCATATATCCATATTTCGCGCAGCACAATATTATACTGCAGACAGAATTACATATAATACCTTCAACAGAATCCGAATGCTTTTGTTGCAACATAGTATTTGTAAATTGGTCATTATCACATTGAACGTCAGAATGACCAAGAGGAGTCCACACTCCATTATCTGGTCTGTTGTTATTTCTTGTACTTTTCTCTTGTTTTTCAGTAGAAGAGGCTAAACTATGCCTGCCTCTTGTCAAGAACTTGCCATCTGAAGTCTGTTTTACATCATCATTAGAAGTAGACGCAATTGGTTCAATATTAGGAAGATGACCATTAGAACCCGCTAGTTTGTCGATAGGCCAAGGTGATCGCTTGTCATTCTTCAAACTTGAATTTTGAAATTTGAGCCAGGGCTGTATGCCAGCCAAAGGTTGATTTTTATGCGCTTCCTTGTTTAAGAGGATGCCCTTTACCAGTCTTTCATTAGTTTTAAACCTCTGGTTTTGTTTATGAGAAATGGCAACAGCCGGATTTCCAGGCTTGTGCAACATACCTCCAGACACCTAAATGTATCACTGGTTGAATCAGAAAAGACAAAATATTTTTTAAGTCTAATAGAACTATATATTCTATGTGTTTAAGTGTGCACATAAAAATCTCTGTAGCATGGCAGATAATGGACAACATCAATGAAGAAGCAACGGGAAAGCAGAAGGTAAACATAACTTACAGCAGAAATTTCATATTCTTTCCCTTTGAGAAGCGGGATTCTTTTCTTTCCAGAATCTCCAGTCAAAGTAGATATTGAAACATGACCACCAACACTGGAGACTGCATTATGGAAAACATAAACACACAAAAGAGATCCTTTAATATATTCCCAAATTTCATGTGGCTAATGATGATTGCATGACATCTGATATAGTCAACATGAACATAAATAAACACACGAATATTAGCAAACAAAATTCCATGACTACAACAAGCCTAAACGCATACCAGATTGAATTCCTGATATTTCTTTTCCATATTGATTAGCAGGTTGATCTCCTTGATTAGGTGCCGCAAGGATAGTTGATTTGCTCTTGTGGTTTGAATTCTTTGCACTGCCCTTCAGATTATGCTGTTAATCAAATAGGAAATAAGAAGATAACAACATTCCCCAAGCTGGCATGCAATGGAAATTTTGCTGATAAATGCAAGATAAACAAGAATTAACCATCTGGATGAACTATTGCTCAAACCGCTGTCTGAATTTCAGTTTGTGTGTGTCTATATATATATACATAGAGAGAGAGAGAGAGAGAGAGCACTTCTTAGCAAAGAAAAAAGTTAATAACAACATGATATGCCCAAACAAGGGAAAAGATAACAATCTTATACACCATGAAAATTTTCCAATCCATTTGTCAAGAAAGAAGTGGGCTTACTATTGTGAAACTATGAACAACTTGCATAAGAACTACCTGCTTTAAATTTTCCTTGAATAAATGATTTACCTGTTTAATGTTAAAGACGAGTGACCTCATATCAAATCAAGCAAAACACAAAATCATGAAAGAAAATCCAGTGCACAACTGCTATGCTATAATTTCCAAAGCACATTAAAGTTCTGCACTATCAATTTTACTCAAAGGAATACCAAAAACATGATTCTGGAGGCACCTTTTTCTTTTGAGCACCTTTTCTAGTAGCACTTGATCCAGGCTTGTTCACAGATGCTGACCTAGCTTTTCTGTTATCCTTGAGACCAGCTGATGCATCCTGTCATAAATCAGAAATTTCAAAATCAAATTATTTATCATATTGGAAAACAAAGTTGACATGAACATAAAATATGATGTTATAATTGAGATGATTACCTCACCAAACTTCAGAGATTACTCATTCTCCTTGTTATAGTTTTAAATCAGCAAGAGTAATTGAATTGATAAAAAACATTTACAGAAGTTGTCAGCAATCAGTTATTCTTCAGTTGACAACTTCTGTAGAACCTAGGGACTAAAGTTGTACCAAAATACTCTGATGTATATGCAAGGGCGCGCAAAATTCCTTTAATATCCGTGTTCCAATTTCAACAATTTCTCTAAGGTTTTCCTACTCTCTCATTTACTTTCTCACCAAACAACACACTTAAGAGTTAGGAACTGCACCTCAGAATTAATCCATATCATTGATGAGTGTGGAACCTAACCTAACAACTTGGTATCAACGTATTAAACTGAAAATTATGCATTCCATTTATCTCCCTTGTGTAGGGAATTGGAAAATGTAAAGCAATGCAAAAAAATGCAAAGACTTAAAAGTTGAGGGTGTTGGGCCTAAAACTGGCCAATTGGTTTTGCATAGTAAAGGAGAAATCAGAATGCAACACACCTGATTTTCATCCTTAGCAGCTCGTTTCTGACGAACATATTCCATCAGGGGTGTCGTAACAGGAGATTCTTTCGCAGAAGCTGAAAAAATGTCATGTGGAATAAATAAATTTATTTATGAGATAGAACTAAAAGGAATATTTTTCCTGAGAAAACAAATCCCCAGTATAAAAATACTAAATGACATGATGCATTATAATATGACGGGCAAGTGAACATATGGACACACCGGATTGTTCTGCTTCTTTTCTTTCCAACTGAGGTTCAGCACTATGAAGATTCTCAACTGGTTTTGCAATAAGTTTGAGGAATTCCAGATAATCAGGATCTAGTTTCAAGAAGGAATCATTAGTAACATGCAAGTTAATGGTAGCAATACGAGAGAATCAATAATAATATACAAAATTCCCATATAATAGATCTAATAATGGTTCAAAAAGTTTACCAGTTCCTTTTCTCAAGAAAGAAAAGAGCAAGAGGAATAGAAGCAAGCAAGAAATGAAAGGAAATAATACCTTTATAAATGGTCCCATCACGATCATCCTTTAATGTACAAGTTTTAGGAACACGCTGAGAAGGAGCATATTCAACTATGGCCTTGAACTGAGAACCTTCAGTGATAGCAAAAAAATTTTCAGGTTTTTAAGCTTCAATTGATGTTCAAAGTAACAATAAGTAAAGGATCAATGTCACAAAATCCAACATTCTAATATAAGATGCATTTTCCTTTTTTTCAATAAATAACCTTTGGCGTTCAATATAAATTATTTCAATCACAAAATTAATTTCCCAAGGGAAAAAACAATGAAAGAAGAACCACGACTAAAATAACATCTTAATCATCAATATAGTCGCATGTAACAATTATTTTGCTTGTTATAGGAACCATTGCTTCCATACTGTAAAACCAGGTGAACCTCACAGTAGTTTGTTTACTTGGTAAAGCATAGAATGAGAGATCAGCCACAAAGTTTTTAAGTACCCCTCTCATTGTAAAATATATGACCATGGAAGATATCTGCGAACTCCAAAACATCTCCTGGGTTCTTGAAGTCTATGTAGGCTCGAGAATATCTTTGATGCTTCTGACTGCAAGGAGTTTTTCAGAAAATTCATAATAAAATTTAAGTCTTGTGTAGAATCCGTAAAAAATACTAATGCCGAAACATCGTCAACCTTAATTATTTACATTGATCCAATTCCCAACCAGCCAACCATATAGACTGGTAAAATGAGGCAAATCGAACTCAAATAATCAGCTCTAACGGATTAACTAGACCATGGGTAATCAAAGAATCAAACTCCAAATCTCAAAAAAAAAAAAAAAAAAAAAAGTCCAAATCTCAAAAAAAAAAAAAAAAAAAAAAGACAAAGATTAGACAAGAACCAAGACGTAAAGAGAAATAACAGGCTGATTTGATAATGAAAAGAAAAGGACCAACTTTGCAGGGCGATAAGCAGACCAGATTGTAGCGTTGAGAGAAAAAAAAAAAAAAAAAAAAAAAGGATCAAATGAATTAGACAAGAACCCAAGACGGTAAAGAGAAAATAACAGGCGTGATTTGATAATGAAACAAAAGGAACCTGAACTTTGCAGGGCGAAAGCAGAACCAATTGTAGCGTTGAGAGAAAAGATGATCGAATTGGGAGAAGAGATGAAATTGGGAGAGAGAAGGAGGCAAATGCCTTATAACCACTCTGGTCCTTTCAGAAGGCTCTTTCTTTTTCATTATCATTCAATCTGTCTCCTCTAGTTCAACTGCCGCGTCTTCTTTCGGTGCGCACTTTCAACGTCCAAAGCACATACCTTCGTTCCCCTTCCTTTCTGTCTGTTACTTGGACTGGATTCTTAATTTCTCCAACTTATTCTCCAAGGCCAGCAATTTGAAATTTTATTAACAACTTTTTATTGTTCTCCAAAATGATAATCTTTCAGGTTTCAAGTGCTCCAATTTTTTAAAAATTATTTTTTATATTTTTTTATTTTTTGAAAAAGTAGAAGATGAAGTCGGTGTTTAAAATGAGTTGGGCTTGAGAGTGCGCGGTTCTAAACTTGGGACTTTAAACCGGGTAAATCTAGGCGGTTGGCTTGGATATCACAAAGCACTTCGAGGCTCTCAACGGTTCAGATTTGCTTCGGTTGAAGTAAATAGATACTGCGGAGGGTTCAATTCGGCTATACTCCAGTGCACGACAAGAGGTCAAGCAGTAGTCCAGTCCAATAAGAAATTTCCTGGTTCAATTTGTCTTTAACTCAGCCTCTTTAGTCTTTATCCCTTCTCCATCTCCGACTCCCACAAATTTGTCATCCCAAGTAAGAATCTTATGATCATCACTGCATTTTATTTTTTTCGAAAAGCAATAATTTATTATGCATTTCTTGTTGATCACTTCAATCGACAGACGCTTGGATTCTCTTTTTGATATCTTAATTTTGTTCGTCTCTGTTTTGTTGTTGTATGGAAGGTAGAAAACCAAAAGGCTTAACTTTTGAATCTCTTAGTAGAATTAGCGTTGTCGATTTATTTGAAACTAGGTCTTGCTTGAGAGCATGTAATTCGAAATCTCTATCTGCTTTCTTATCTGATTTTGATTGAGTTATTAAAGAATACATTTTTTCAATGACTACGAACAAGATGGAATCATCTGGTGAATTTTAGCGGCATCCTATTTTATAAGATCACTGTGCTTTGATGACTGGTTTTTTATTCCGTCCTGTTGAAAGTTATCATGTGTCTGCCCTGATTATCTCTTCTTATAAATTTTCTGTTCAATGTGAATACTTGATTCTTGATGGAGTGAAGCTTTGTGGTCTGTGTCTTTTTGATTATAACATGTGTAACTTACGGTTAAAATGGAGATTCGACTTGGAACCAAGCCTGATTTTATATAGGGCTAACATTTTATTGTTTAAAGATACTTTTTGACTGGACCTGTGACATTCCTTCGCCCAAAGGTGTCTTAGATATTTCACTTTGCAGGTTACCTGATCTGGCATGATGGGTGGAAGTGCACTAGATGATGACTGGGAGCTTACTTCACCATCCAATGGGGTTCGCACAGTGGTTTTAGTTGGGCGTACAGGGAATGGCAAGAGTGCAACAGGCAACAGTATCCTTGGAAGGAAGGCCTTCAAATCAAGGGCTAGTTCATCTGGTGTTACTAGTACTTGCGAATTACAGCGAACTGTGATGTCAGATGGTCAGATTATCAATGTCATCGACACTCCTGGTATGAACTGGATGAGATGGATTTGTGTTTTACAGCACCCATTAGTCTTTTTCTTATTGTTATCTCAGCGATGCATAGGAACTGACAGATTATAATTGCAGGACTATTCGATTTTTCTGCTGAATCTGATTTTGTTGGCAAAGAAATTGTCAAATGTATTAACATGGCAAAGGATGGGATCCATGCAGTCCTGGTTGTATTCTCAGTTCGAACACGCTTCTCACAGGAAGAGGAATCTGCACTTCGGAGCTTGCAGACTTTGTTTGGAAGCAAGATATTTGATTACATGATTGTAGTCTTCACTGGAGGAGATGAGCTTGAAGATAACGATGAGACATTACAAGATTATCTAGGTCGTGAATGTCCTCAGCCTTTAAAGGTGATTTCTGAATTGTAGCAATATAGTTGATTTGCCATTTTTATAGTTAAATTTATTTATATATGATATTATTCTAATTGATGAAACTAGTAAGTGATTAAACCAGAAGTTGGAACTATGAAGGAGAATTCTTGAGGACAAGGATTCTAGGCTAAGAAAAATTAAGACAGAATACATGCATTGAAATAGTAGAAAATTTATTGGAAATCTATCTTCCTACATGCACATCATGGATTGATTATAGATATTTTGTGCTGAAGAGTGTCTATATGTAACCCTTCCATTTGAATGCATAGCTATTTGCAGATCTTACAGATAGTTTCTTGAAGAGGAACTATGTGGAACCTTTCATTTGAATGCATAACTATTCACAGATCGTACTATTTTGAACTCATAAAATTTGTAAATCTCACTACTGGAAAATGAGTTTGGTAGGATATCATGTGATGAGTACCTAGCTATTTGTTTGTACAATTAGTTTATGTTTTATGGGCTGAAAATTACGAGGAAGTTAAACACTCTCAACATTAGTATCTCAATCAGTTGTAATATCTGTGCAGGAAATTCTTAATCTCTGCAAGAATAGACTAGTGCTTTTTGATAACAAAACCAAAGATGAACTTAAGAGAGCTGAACAGGTTCAACAGCTTCTTTTCCTTGTAAATATGGTCATGGCACAAAATGGTGGACAGCCATATACAGATGAGATATTTGTCGAGTTGAAGGTGAGCATACCTGTGACATTTGCTAATTTTATTTCATTCCAGAGTAAAATTGTCAATGGTGACTTAATTGATTTGACAGAAAGGAGCGATGAAACTTCGTGATCAACAAGAAGAGGTTGATTCCCTGGAAGGATATACTAAACGAGAAATATTGGAGCTAAAGGAGCAGATGCACAAGTCATATGAAGAACAGCTGAAACGAATAACTGAGATGGTATTCCATGATTTTGTTGTGTTCATGACTTTTCCTGTTGGATTGTGTTTGTTTTTGAAAATATTTTGAAATCTTTATCATCCTAAGAATATCCAAATGTTATAAATGACATGGTAGCTAGTGCCAGTGTATCATTTTCAGTTTTTTTTTTTAATAAGACTGAAATTCTATTGGAGAACCTTATTTTTTGGATTCTGTGAACTGTTCAGTTCAGAAGCATGTGTCATGTGAGGGAAGATGCTTAAGAAATACAATAGAGTTGTGTTCCTGCTTTTTGTCGGTGTACCTTGCATCACTATTATTGGTCTGTGTGTACGTATGATTTACAACTTAAGTTTTGGATGGACAATGGTAGTGTTTCTTGTAAATTATATTTGCACTTGCCATTTTTCAATTAGTTTTTAGCCCTAAATTTATCTTAATTCCCTGGTGTTTAGACTGATAACATAAAGATAATCTTGTCAGCTTTATTTCTGTCACAACATGATACTGTTGGTCCAGATGTTGCTACTTCATTGACTAAATTGGATTCCATGTTGCTTGTAGGTTGAGTCAAAACTTAGAGAGACAACAAATAGGCTTGAGCAGCAGTTGGCAGAGGAGCAAGCTGCCCGACTAAAAGCAGAAGAGATTGCACAATTAGCTCAAATGAAATCAAATGATGAAATTCGCCGGCTTAGAGAGAATTTAGAAAGAGCTCAAAAGGAGACTGAGGAACTCCGTAGGCAGGCTGAAAGTCGATGCAACATTCTGTGATGCAGTATGCTCAATATTATTATTTTTATTTTGCGTGATGAAAATGTTTAAGTGTGTTTTGTCTAGCTTTCGTATTTGGATTATCGAACTATTGCTACGAAAGATTGAGATTGGATCATTTGATTTAAATCTCTTGTAAATATTTACCATGATTTGGCTGAAGGATTAATATTCCAACATGTGCATATTTTTACGTTTTGCCTTTTCTTGCTATTATGGATTCAGGCAGATATAGCAAAAGATTTATATAGTCGATTCAAACTAATTTGTACTAAGACTTAGTTGTTGCTGGAGTATTGGACTAGTAAAATAACACGAGTCAATGATATCCATCCAGAATATTAAAAGGTATGAGTTAGTACGTTACTTCAATTTATATAGTTATAAGAGAGAAATCACTCACACCAAACAAACAAACAAACATTTTAGAAAACTAGCATAATCACTGATCTTGGACAGCTAGCGAACCAGTGATTACGCTGGTTATAAGGGACATAGCCATGTTCACGTCTTCAATCTGGTAGAGGACACGGTAAGTTCCATAGGCAAGCGGTAGCATGCAGGAACTATACACGAACACTAGCTCCAGTTTTAATTGGGACACACATCACGTAGAGATACTAGAGTTTTGGTATCTTTATTCTTCGAATTACAAAATACATAACAATCCAACATGGCCCACTTGACATTACTAGTGATTACCTGCATGAATATGCAATCGACAATGATTAATGTTTCAATATTTATACACAATTTATATATTGGACAGAACGTAGTGAATAGACAAAGAAGATGCATACCCAAGATGGAGAATCTTCTTGTCGGGATGAGAGTAGGCAGTTCCATCCTCAATCATATGCGGACCAAAGAAATTGCGAGAGGTTAGTGCCTGAATTGCATTCAGCTCTGCCCCAGTTACCATGTTTGCTTGCTGAAGCCTCTCAATTTCTGCTATCTGAAGTTTTTTATTTTATTTTTTATTGAACAGAAAGTATGTGGTTCTTCATTAGAAAATAGAAAGGTTACTATATCAATACAGATTGGAATTTAGTTTCCTATATATATATATTACCTTGGTTCGAAGACAAACACTTTCATTTTCGAGCTCAATCTCCTAACAATTATAATAAGCAAGTTTAAAGACATAAAAGAGTTGCGTGTAAAAACAAAAAAGGAAAAATTAGAGCAAGACAGAAATTACCCTTTTCTGCAAGTATTCAATTTCAGCCAGCAACAATTCATGCTGTCGTACACGATAAGCAACAGAAAAATTAAACAAGGTATATAATATATAATGTACATTATATGTCTATTGGCTATTGCAATACCTTGCATTGCATGAAAAATGGTATTTGTATAGTGGTAGTTAGCTATTGAACATCTATTAAATCTGTTGGCTATAAAAGACTCCAAAAATCTCACACGTGGTCTCTAAAATAAGACGATTCAATCACAAACCAACAACACTTACTAACTTTGTCCTTGATCTAACCTTCAAATTTCTAAAATCATCAAATTTTTTTAATTAATTTACTTGCTAACATGAAGGAAAATTGAAAACGCAGCTGCATGCGATGATTTGCGCGATAAATAGTATATGGAGATTAAATAAAATCCCGAAGGAATGTAGACAATATTGGTGTGGATGTGAGTAAGTAGCCTTTATCTCAACTACATAAATGAATTGATGCTTACCTTCTTTGATCTGATTCTAGTAATGCCTCGTTCAAGCCTATTCTCCAGCTGCTTTAGCTCCTTCACTGTTAGGGAACTCAAGGAGTCACCCATTAGATGCCTACAAAGAAGTAATGAAATTAAGCTTTTGGCATGTGCTTCCCCTTCAAGCATTATATTTATCTAAACATATATACTTACGTACAATAAAACTAAAGAAGAAAATATCATCAAGTGTGTGAAATAATCATAATCGATATTCATGTCGCCTATAGTTACCAAAAACCAGAAGCATTAATCTTGCTATATATATATATATATATATATCTATCTATAAAGGTGGCTTTTTCTTCACTGTTATATTCAACTATAACTTCATATTCAAGAAATATGTGAATAATTGCTGTTTCATTTTAGTTAGGAAGCGTGGTTATAATCAGTGCTTTATACCACTCTAAAAGAAAAGGAGAAAGGAAATTTCATTTTCTCACAATAATCAAATTAAATATATATATATATATATATATCTATCTATAAAGGTGGCTTTTTCTTCACTGTTATATTCAACTATAACTTCATATTCAAGAAATATGTGAATAATTGCTGTTTCATTTTAGTTAGGAAGCGTGGTTATAATCAGTGCTTTATACCACTCTAAAAGAAAAGGAGAAAGGAAATTTCATTTTCTCACAATAATCAAATTAAAGTGCTAAAAGAACAAAATGAAGATATAAGGCAAAGCTCTCTCTATATTTATTACATGTCCAAGAAAGAGAAATGTGACTGCCGAGAATAGAAGAGACTACCTGTTTGAATTCTGTAGCATTTGGATTTGTTGCCGCAGCTTTGCTGATTCTTGTTGATAATACTATATTGGAGCCACCATATAGTAAAGAAAAAGCTTACTCATCAGTTCATATTAAGGTATTTGTGAATGCATTTTGTTAACAATAAAAGATTACCTGAGCATTAATTTCTGTAATAGAGCTTGCATTTGTGCTATCTGAACAAGCCTTTTTGTATCTCTCGATAGTTGATTTTATACTGCATTCAACACAAATTCACATTTAGAACTTTAGCATCTAATTCTCTTAAGATTCTACTATATAAAATATAATGCTCATGGAATATTTTATCCAAATATTATTATCAAATAAAGGTTTTTGTTAGCTCACTGCATTGAGGACAAATAATAAATATTTCACTTTAATCTTAAATATGCATACTTTCTGAATTAAATTAAAGACAATACATTGTAAAAATCATGGAATTCACGAGAAAGAAAAATATTTCTTTTAATTTCAATTAAGTTAAAAGTACTCCTTTTTTTTTTAATAGTTATTAATTTGTCATAAAATTTCATTTTTTCAGGGTTGAATTTGCTTTTTTTTTTTCTCTCTTTTTTCGATTGAATTGTTTAATTTTATGGTATCTTCACCAATTTCCCAGAATATAATAATACTCCGAATATAAATTTTATTACAAATAATAATTTTAAACTAATAATAATATATTCTATATAAATTATCTCACTAATTTGATACGTACTCATAAAATTGATAAAAACTGATATAATCAAGAGAAACTTAAGTTTAAGAATTCTTCTATTACGATGGATTCATGAATTTGAAACCTTAAATATGTATTTTAATGAAATCAATTATTTGGACTAGTTAAATATTTACATATTTAGAACTTAAGAAAATATTTACGCATTATTTAAATCCTAAATCTCAAATCCTAATGGTAAAATACCTAATGCCTGATATTGATATTTCATTATAATTCTTTTTGTATGTGCAATGACTTTCATTCTGATTTGTGGATTTTTTTTTTTTTTTTTTTTTTTTTTTTTTTTTTTTTTGTTTGAAAAATTTTTTTTTTTTTTTTTTTTTTTTTTTTTGTTTGAAAAAAAGAAGGAAATTTTGTAAGGGTAGTCCATTAAGAATTTCTCCAACAGAAGTCAACCCACACGCAGCTCCGCTCTTAAGGGGGCCTTGAAAATGAAAAAAGGTATCCTACCTGAGTTGCTGTCACTAAAATGGAGAAACCCTAGCTAGCAGAAAGCACCTCTGTACTACTCCACTTTCTTCATTAATGGTCTGATCATTCACAAGAAGAGAAAGCAGAAAGAACGTAGGTAGCAATCTTCTTAGGGTGAAGAGAAGTGAAGTTGTAGATTTGGTTAGAGAAAGTGAAATAACTTTGAAAGCTGAAAACGGAAACAGGAGAATAGAGAAACTTAGATTTATAGACAATGAGAAAGAGGAAAAGATGAGAGATATCAATAGATTTCACTTTATTATTATCTTATCAATTGTGAACGAGACTGGGACTGAAGCAGCTGAGGCAAATAAAGAGATGATCGATATATTTATATATAGATGTCGCCTGCTAGAAAATTCAAATTGAAATGATACATATGTACGTTAATAATTTACAGCTAATTACTTGGAAATCTATACATATATCTCCTATATTAACTGTTTGGGTTCACTCGTAACTTGATTTGAAGTTAAAGCATATAGGAGGGAAAGGAAAGCAATTTTAAAAAAAAATGAAAAGGCAGATCAAAACGGAATAATCACAGGGCCATTAGTAAATTTTAAGATGTGATAGAAGAAGGGTATTTCCATTCAAATTCGAAGCGGTTGCATTCACGCGCCAATCATAGTAGCAATATTTAGAAACCCTAGCCAGAAAAGGGATGGAGTGCCTTATTAGTTTGTCTGCAAGTAGAACTTCAGGTCCATTGGAAAGGACAAACTGAAAGATTTAGAGCTAAAACAGGAAAGAAAAGCCGACCATTTTTGCGATGAAAACGGAAGAGTAGTAGCTAGCAGAATAATCAAGGGCCAACACTTTACACTGTACTATATATATGTTATATCATATGGATTTTCCTAAGATTACAACGCTTAAAAGGAAAACAAAACATATATATCAATCAACTGCAGCTAGTGGGTGCTTCTCTTGAAATTTTGCGTTTACATTATTAATTAATTATTATCTGGTCAAAATCTAAACTCACACATCACATGGATTGCTACTTTATGTAGTAATTAGTTCTCTGTCTTCAAATTAATTAAAGAGGCATAAAGATTCTATTTTTATGTATAAAGATCTTAAAAATAAACTTAAAATAAATATTAGGTAATTTAATTACTTGTTGTTCGAGTACTCATAGAGGCGGCCACGGCTGGAGAAGACAATGAGGGCAACCTCAGCATCGCAAAGGACTGACAATTCATAAGCTTTCTTCAACAGTCCATTTCTCCTCTTGCAAAAGGTCACTTGACGATTCGTTGTGTTCTCTATCCTCTTGATCTCGATCTTTCCTCTTCCCATGCCTGCCTACCTTAGATCATCACTTTGTATTAACTTACATATTTCAAAAACAACAGATTGAATTATTCTTGTTGATGGACTTTATCTTTCTGCAAAGACATTTTTATATTTATCCCGTGCCTGTCAAAGACAACTGTCTCGGGGATCATGAAGCAAAATATTTTCGTTGTTTTTTATTTTTCTTTTCTTGTGTTGTAGAAAGTAGAAACTATTTAGCAATAAAAGTACCCCAAAAAACCATGATTTTCAGGACGAGATGAAATGAAAGCAGATCTGTATTAAAAATGAATATTGAAAGCCACGGTATTTTTGTCAAAAAAAAAAAGGTGCAAATAATAATTATAATGAAAGAAAGAAGAGATCTTGAAGAATAGGTTAAGTTGAAAAGAAACGTGGGGGAGATGGATGTAAGCCACCCAGAAGACATCGATGGATATGAAGAATGATAACAAGCAAAATGGGTACACATCATCTGAGAGAATTCAGATCAGAATCTACCATAAGTTGGACAAGATTTTGGCAGCAATTCTGGTACTATTAATGGGTGCATGACCCATTTTCTGTCATCTGTCTCTCTTTTTATGTCTTTCTTCTTGACCATGTTTGGCTACGTATTTTCATCCTCGTTTACATATATATGATAAATCAACTCGACAGATCAGCCCAAAGGTGACTCCGCAGGCTAAATGGTATAGCCTGAAAAATCTCAAAGATCAAACTCGACTCTTTAAAAAATATATATATACTCTCTTTCTAAAACAGTAACTAGTATTTCTTTTTCGGGTAGAATTATAACCCTGACGGACAAATAAAAGGGGAAAACAAAAGACAAGAAAATGAGCTGAAGAAAGTTTGAAAAGTAGAGAAAGCCCATCAAGTCACCCAGGTGCAAAAGGAAAAGAAGAACACACAAATTTCTGGGAGCTGGGAAAAGAAGATCGAAAAGGAATAATGTTATATCAAGCAAATTTAGGGGATGAGTACTGACAAAAATGAAGAGAAAACACAGATAGGGGAAGACATGTTCATCTAGGGTAAAGAAGAAGATTCTGTTCCGCATTAAACAATTCAAAAATAAAAATTTATTGCTTATTTATACAAGAAAGCAAACAGTGGTATTTTTAGATGAAAGAGAACACAGACCTGGGTTTAATTTGGTCACTCTCCGGCCACTTCAGCTTTCGGAAAATTTAGAATCCCAAAGAAGCCGAAGTGCTTAAACTTCACTCTCTCTACCCTATTTATAGGGCTTTCTTTCTTTGTCTATCTATAGGCAGAGAAACAAGGAAAGAAAAGAAAGAAGATAGTTTTCTTACTTTAGTTTTCTTTTTCTTTTCTTCGAGAGAGGGAGAGAGAGAGAGAGTCTGATCTAGGAAAGGGACCTTGGCGTTGTTGTTTTGCCGAAAGTTCATACATGAAGTTGTTGTTTTAGCTAAAATAAACAGCTTTGCAGGTGCAAATTCGCACCATATACTGCAATTTTTGTTTCACACCTCCTTAATTACCTTTTTTTTGTTTGACTATGATGCCCTTCAAGACTTTTTTAAATATGGTACTGTCATCTAATTAATAATATTGGTACTAAGATATTTGATCCGACTCTATGTGAGCAAAAAATGCAATATATATTTGCATTTGAAATTACAGTTTGGTGGATTAGGGTTTGGTGCTGTACACGTATATCTGCACTGCTGGGATATACTTAAGATTTAAAATTAAAATACCGAGGGGGAGAAAGGGGGGTTGTGTGTGTTGGTTGGTTTGGTGCTGTACACGTAATATCTGCACTGCTGGGATATACTTAAGAATTTAAAAATTAAAAATACCGAGGGGAGAAAAAAGGGGGGTTGTGTTGTGTTTGGTTGGGGGGGGGGGTGGGGTGGTGGGGGAAGAAGAACACACAGTCATTTTACTGCTATGTGGTATGAGTAACGTAAGCATTGTTTAGCCGCCCGTTGTTGAAAACAAAAGAAAAAAAATATAAAAAAAAATTTAGTTTTTTTGTTTAATCCCACATGGGAGATAAGGCAAAGTGAAGGTAGTGATTTGGCTATAAATGGAAGCAATGTTTTTAGGTTTTCATACACAGACACGCTAAAATACACTAAAAACACTTGAAAATGTGTTTTATATTATGGGAGTCTTTTGGAATCCCTGGAGTAAATAAAATATTTGGGGGTGTTTTTGAGGTGTTGGGTAGAAAAATATTTTGTTATAATTGTGGTTGGTAAACAATTTGCCAACAATAGTGAATAGTTTTTCTTGGTTTGTCATTTGGCACGGCCGTGGTTTTTCTCCACTTGGGGAAGTTTTTCCAATGGGTTTAAACTATCGTGTTCTCTTTAATTTCCTTTTAATTTCTCAGTCATTATTTTATTTTCTTATTTGTTCCTGCTTGAAGCCGATCCGAAGGGCGGGAAAATAGTGATTTTCCCAACAAGTGGTATGAGAGCCTAGTTGTTAGGCGGAGCTTTTAGTGTTAAAATAATTTCTTGTAATTTAAATTATAAGTATGCACTGTGGTTGCCACTTAGTCTGATCTTTCACATCAGAAATACTGTTGTTAGAAATTATTTTATTTTAAAAGCAGGCGGAGTTTTGGAAGTCTTGAAGCGGGTGGAGCTTTGCTTTGGTGTGCTTGAGTATCGGTGGTGAAGGTCCTGACGATAATTATTGAAGTTATAGTTATTCTTGATACGAAAGTTCTGATAATATACCGTTTGGCACGTAACTTCTGTCTAGGAATGCCGGGATTTTAAGTGGGAACCACTTGTGACCCCTTCCGGTCCAACTGAGATTTTACGTGGAATGGTAATATTGTCTAGGGATTCATTTTGTGATCTTTCCTGGGTATTGCCGAATCGGTTTTACTTCATTAATTATTTTAGATTCACTGTTATAAGCACAAGTAAGCATGTCGGCTATGAGATGTGAGATTTGAAGAAATTTGACGGAGAATGATTTTGCACTGTGGCAAAAGTTGCAAGTCAAAGACGTGATTCAGTCTGGACTGCATAAGGTTTTGCAGTGTAAACCAGTCAGCGGAAAGAATTCAGGAAAAGACAGTGGCAGTAGAGACTCAGAAAGATCCAAGATTAGCGATGAAGAATGGGAGGAGCTGGATATTAAAGCGGCAAGTCAAATTCGCATGTGTCTAGCAAAAAATGTTCTTGGTAATGTGTTTGGATTGTCCACGACAAAGGAATTGTGGGAGAAACTGGAAGAATTGTACCAGGGGAAAAATATATCCAACAGGTTATATTTGAAGGAGCAATTTCATACGTTGAAAATGGCGGAAGGTACAAAGTTGTCAGATCACCTGAGTGTTCTTAACGGCATCGTCTCTGAATTGGAAACTCTTGGAGTGCAAACCAAAGATGAAGATAAAGCTCTCCAACTCATCCTGTCACTTCCTTCGACATGAATATGAGCACATTGAAACCTGTTCACATATGAGCACATGAAACCTGTTCTGAAATATGGTAGTAAGGAAGTGGTGTATGCGGATGTGGTTAGTAAGCTCATTACTGAGGAGAGAAGACTGAATAAAATGAAAAATAAATCATATGAGGATTCATCTTTATCTGTCGGTACCAGGAAAAAGAATAAAAGCTCCGGAAAGAGGAAGGTTGTCTGCTAGGGTTGTGGTCAAACTGGACACGTGAGGAAGGATTGCCCGAACGGTGGAGCTGATTCGGCTAGAAGCTCTAATGTTGTTGCTGCCAATGTGATCTCCTGTGGCGAAGGAGATGATGTGTTCTCTCTGTAATTGAGAGATGTGTGCCCTCATGGCATGATTGCTACCCGTTAAGATGCCATGGAAGAGGATGGATTATTGGTAGCTGGTCCACGGAAATGCGCACGGCATTGGTTGACAGTTGATGCAAAGTGTGGTGGAAAAAATATGCCGATGGCTAATGAACTCTCAAAAAAGTCAATAGGAGGGTTGCACCATAAAACCACTTAAACTATTTAGCGGGATACCGACATGCCGATTGAAAAATTCTTGGAGTCGGTTTTAAAGTGGTTTCCAAGGGCGATACTCTTTTATGGTGAGATGATAATCTTGACTGATAAGAATTTATGATTGTCTGGTTAGCATGAACAATGTTTGTGTTTTTTTATTTTATTTTCAAGGTGAGATTGTTAGCCGCCGTGTTTTGAAAACAAGAAAAAAAATATTATAAAAAAAATTAGTTTTTTGCCTTAATCCCACAATCGGGGAGATAGCAAAGTGAGGTAGTGATTTGGGCTATTAAAATGAAGCAATGCTTTAGGTTTCCCATACACACCCTAATACACTAAAACACTTGAATGTGCTTGTTTATATTAGGGGAGTCTTTTGGAAATCCCTTGAGTATAAAATATTTGTGGTGTTTTTGAGGGTGTTGGTAGAAAAAATATTTGTAATGTGTGTGTAAACAAATTTGCCACATAGTGAATATTTTTCTTGGGTTGTCATTTTGGCCAAACGGCCGTGGTTTTTCTCCACTTGAGGGAGTTTTTCTACGGTTAAACTATCGGTGTTCTCTTTAATTTCTTCAGTCATTCATTTTATTTTCTCTTAATTTCTCAGTCATTATTTTATTTTCTCATTTGTTCCTGCTTGAAGCCGATCTGAAGGGCGGGAAAAATAGCAATTTTCCCAACAAGCATCACGGATGTTGTGTTTCTCACAAATTTCCGGATTAGAGCCTAGTGTTAATTGTATTAGATTCTATTTAGGTTAGTGGGAAGGGAAGTATAATTCTTTTACTTTATTTTGTTTTACCACGTGTGTTCTTAGGACCAAGGTCAATCTTGCTCACACTGTATTAAGCCCACAAGGAAAGAGCATTTCAAGTGGAATTTTTCTCTATTTATAAGGATCAAATACTCGCATTTTTTTTTGAGAATAATTTCTACGTATAAATTAATTTTCATGCTTTTATAATCCATTAAGATTTAGGTGTGATTTAATTAAGGATTAAACTTGTCTAAATCTATTATAATGTTTTATCAATACACCAAATTAATGAAAATAAAGATTTTTAAAAATAATTTCTATTCAGTCATTTTCTCTCTGATGAATAGTTAAAGACACCCTTATTTCAACAAAAAAATATTTTTTATTTATTTGGTCTATAAATATTTCATAGACCGAATCTAGATAAATTAATTTTATTAAATAAATACGATAGCAACAGATAACAAATGATTCCTCTCAATATCTTGAGTTTGTCAATAGAAAATGAGTAAACATATAAAATACAAAAATGATCAGTCGAACAAATCGTTACAAAGCACGATAGTAAAACATTGTTCTTCAAAGGTACATAGGGAGCTCGCTTAAAATTTATGTAAAAAGGTGTAGACTTGGTATACGATTGAGCTGTATTAAAAATGATGAAGGACAAAAAAGTAATTGCCAGAGGCGAATGAGTTACAACAATATGGCTTCAGCAAAGGGCTTGAGAACATTTGGGGAAACCCAGGAGATTGAAGGAATCGATTGGCGGGATCAAGTAAGGGAGTTATATTCCATAAGCAAGCAAAAATGGTTAGTCATTTGAACGCCTTCAGCAGGTAAACGATATTTCGTGATTCATCACCTCCTCTATTCCATTATAATTTCTCTCTTGGGGTTCAATTATCACCACTATAGCAGTAAAGTCATGCTTCAACTGTGTTTTCTCCGATTAGAGTTTACAATGGCAACAGAATAAAGTTGGGTTGGTTTGAGGAGAAGAGAGTTCCAGCAATAATTTTTAATTTTTTTATTGCCATCCTTACCCCTTAAATTATACAACACTTTACGGCTACTACCCTTATATATAGGGGTGAGCACTTGATCCGCGGCCCATTGACCAATTCGATTCGAAGAATAAGCGTTCGGTTAAAAATTTAATTAAAAAATAAATAAATTTTGTGATCGGTTAAAATTTCGGTTAAAAGTTAATAAAACTGAATTAATTAAATTAATTGACTCTAAAAAATATACCGTTTTGATTAGATATATAATAAAACAAAAAAATTTAAAATATTTTAATTTTTATTTTGATTAAACGATGAATTGCGATTTCAATTATTTCTATTTCGATTAAAATCGATTAATAAGAAAATTCATTTAACTTCAATCGGTTAATTAGATTTTCATTTTTTATTAAATTTCGGTGTGATTAATGATTAAAATTAATTCAACCACAATGATTTAATTAAATTCGATTAAGTCGAATAAAATTTCAATTAATTTACTTCGATTAAAATATTACATACATCGGCTGAATGCTCACCCCATTTATACATTACTTATATGCGGCATTTCAAAGTTATTCTACCATGATTTCTTTTAAGTTATTCTACCATGATTAAAAAAATTTATACTTTAAAAATGGAACCCACCATTAGAACTTAACCTATCCAAATTTAAGTAAAACGGTGCATTTCACTATGCACCATTTTCCACTTAACCCATATCTAACTCTCCTCTGTTGTCGTCTGAAGACATCGTGCTTCTTCTCCTCTCCATTTGTTCATTTGAAGTTATAAAAGAAAAATGAAGAAGATCATGCATCTCTCTCTCATTTGTTTACCTTGAATTTAACGTGTGTAATACAAATAAATAGCCCATTTGGAACGAATGAATTCTAGAAATTTTTTTTGGAATTTATTTGGAAATTCAATGTTTTGTGTTTGAAATAAAAAAAAAAGTATAAATTTGAATTCTAAGAATTGAATTTTATGAAATTGGGTATGTCTAATTCAAATTCTACTAAAATTGATGGAATTTCTAAATGAATTCCATAAAATTGAACCATTAAATTTTCATTTAAAAAATTACCCTCTATTATAAGCTCAATTGATTTTACTCTTTTTTTTTTCCTTTCTGTTTTTTTCTTTTTTTTAAAAAATTCCTACTAACGTTTTTTTTTTTTTTTTTTTTGTTCATTAAAATTAACCCTCTAGTTTATAAGTCAAATTGATTTTACTCTTTTTTTTTTCCTTTTTGTTTTTTTTTCTTTTTTTAAAAAAGGAATCCTACTAACGTTTTTTTTTTTTTTTTTTTTGAAATCTGATTAATAACTAACTTTATTTTTACGCTCCACTATAGAACTAGTAATGATGTTGGAGCAGTTTATTATAATAATAGATACTTAGTAAATGCGGTTAGTATTATTGTTGAAACTATACCACCAAATTGACTTATCAACAATTGTTCTCTAAATGCAATTGAACTAATAGTAATTTAAACTTCTTTAATTTTTTTTAAATATTGTTATAGTTTTCAAATTAATTATTTAAAATTAGAGTAAGTTAATAATTTAGCAATAATAGGAAAATATTTATGGAATGTAATATTAATACTTATATAAATTCATTATAATAAGGTTAAAAAAAATACCACATCTTATAACTATCATTTGTATATAATAAATTAATAAATTGGTGAATTTTAATTATTTATTTTTATTAAATTATTTATGTCAGCAGTATATTATTAAGAAAAAAGAATAAATGGAATTTCATTTAAGGAAATTTATTCTAAATTTATAATTTTGTAGAATTCAATTGAATTTCTTTATCTTAATTTATTACAATACCAAACATGAAAAAATTCACTTTATAAATAATCTGCTTATATTCATTTACATTAAATGAATTTCAATGCGGATGGATTCATTGTCTATCATGAAATGCTGAGTGAATAATTTGTAAAAATATTAATTTAAATGCAGGCGCATTTAAAAAAGAGATTGACAATCAAATAAATTTATTATTTCACATGGTACAATAAACACTTATACGACTAAGAAATTTAAACTTTTATTCTCAGTAACAACTGTATTTTTAACAGATGATGAAACATTCAAAACATCAATAATTAAATTATAAAAAAAAGATTAGTGTTCGATAAGTTTATATTTTGTTAAAACTATATATGTAAAATAGGCAACCGCCGTTACCAAATGGTGAATTTAGTTTTTCTTTAAAAGTAATACCAAATTTATATTCTTAATTAATTACTATATAGTTAAATACTTTTCAACATGTTTGCAAATGCCTTATTTATTAAAATAAATATGTATATACATGTATTATCAATAATGATTTGGTTTTAAAGGTTGGTAAAACACAGCCGATCGAATCATGAACTGTTTGGTTTGTGATACCCAACAAATTAGGGCTATCCTCAGGTAAATACTTGACGATCAGGTTCTAGTTCGATTTCCAGATACACTGTTTGAGGAAACCGGATCAGTTAAAATATTAGGCTGAGACCCATCCTATAATTGGTGTTTATTATTTATTTTTATTAAATTATTATGTCAAGAGTATTATAAGAAATAAAGATAAATGAATTTTCATTTAAGAATTTATTCTAATTATAATTTTGTAGAATTCAATTGAATTCTTTATTTTAATTTATTACATACCAAACATGAAAAATTCATTTATAAATAAATTCTGCTTATAATTCATTTACAAATGAATTTTCAATCATGATTCATTTGTTCCAAATACAGTGAAAATCTTAAAAATATTAATTTAAATGACGCATTTAAAAAAGAATGACAATCAAATAATTTATTATTTCACATACAATAAACACTAAACACTAAGAAATTAAACTTTTATTCTCAGTAACACTGTAATTTTTAATTCAATGTGTAACATTTAAAACATAATATAAATTAAAAAAAATAGTGTTTCCCAAAGCATAATTTATATTTTGTTTAACTATTAATGTAAATTATGCACCGCCGTACCAAATGGTGAATTTAGTTTTCTTAAAAGTAATACAAATTTATATTCTTAATTAATTATATATAGTTAAATACTTTTCAACATGTTTGCAAATGCCTATTTATTAAAATAATATTATATATTAAATATAACTAATGATTTGGTTTTAAAGGTTAAACCAGATCGAATCAACTGTTGGTTTGTAAATTTATCGGTCTGACCGATCGGTTCGGTTCGATTTTCAGAACACTGTTTGAGGAAACCGGATCCGTAAAATATTAGGGGCCTCATCGACTGAGAGATCCCAAGGCATAACCATTCAAGCCCTAGCGGGAAGAAGAAGAAATAAAATTCTACTTAATTTGCAGACCGGCAGTGGTCATTATCTCTCGGCAAGCGTCTGGAACTTTCACGAGACCCAGGTACGCAATCAAAAGCCTTAATCCCTCTTTAGCTTAGGTTCATCGTCACTAAAAAGTTTAAAAGCTTTCCAATCTCTCTCGATTGGTTTTTGAATCGATTTCTGTTCTATTATAATACCAAAAATGGCTACCACAACAACAAAAACGCGAGAGGATGATGGTCTTAAGAAACTGGAATACCTATCGCTCGTATCCAAGGTTTGCACAGAGCTCGAATCTCACTTAGGATTTGGAGACAAAGTATTGGCTGAGTTCATCACCGAATTGGGACGAAATTGCGAGAGTGTTGATGAATTTGATTCAAAGTTGAAGGAAAACGGCGCTGAAATGCCGGATTACTTTGTCCGTACACTACTCACTATCATTCATGCCATCCTTCCGCCCAAGCCCAAGTCTGAGAAGGATTCCAAAGATAAAGACTGCGCCTCACTCTCTGATACAAAAAAATCCAAGTTCAAAGCTCTTGCTATTGCTGATAGTAAGGAGAGAGCCAAGGAACTCGAACGAGAACTCCATATGGAAGCTGGGGAGAGAAGGAAAGAACAGAAAAGGGATGAGGAGGATAGGAACAAAGACAGAGACTGGAGAGATAAGGATAGGCACAGGGATAGAGATAACAGGCATAGAGATAAAGATAGGGACTATAATGATGATAGAGGTGGTGATTATAGTAGTAGTGGAAGGCGCCGAGATAGGCATGACAGGCATAGGAGAGATGGGAGCGAAGAAAATGGTTATCACTACAGGGATGATGGCGAAAACGAAAGGGGTCGGAGGCATGCTCGATATAATTCCGGTGAGCCTGAATTGTACAAGGTGTATAAGGGCAGGGTGTCGAGAGTTATGGACTCTGGTTGTTTTGTGCAATTGAATGAACTTAGGGGCAAAGAGGGGTTGGTCCATGTTTCACAGATAGCAAGTAGGAGGGTTGGTAATGCCAAGGATGTTGTGAAGCGAGACCAGGAGGTTTATGTTAAAGTGATTTCAGTTTCTGGACAGAAGTTGAGTCTTTCCATGAGAGATGTTGATCAGAATAGTGGTAAGGATTTGCTTCCTTTGAAGAAGAATTCAGATGATGATGATGCTTTTAGGACTAATCCTTCAGGTTCCAAGGACGGGCCAATTACTAGAACTGGGCTTTCTGGGATAAGGATTATGGAGGAGGATGATGCTGTTCCATCACGTCGACCACTGAAGAGAATGAGCTCACCAGAGAGGTGGGAAGCAAAACAATTGATTGCTTCTGGAGTTTTAGGTGTCAAAGAATATCCTATGTATGATGATGAAGCAGATGGGCTGCTTTATCAAGAAGAGGGAGCCGAGGAAGAGCTTGAAATTGAGTTAAATGAGGATGAGCCTGCTTTTTTGCAAGGTCAGACTAGGTACTCGGTTGATATGTCACCAGTTAAGATTTTTAAGAATCCTGAAGGATCATTGAGTCGTGCAGCTGCACTTCAGTCTGCGCTCATAAAGGAGAGGAGAGAAGTAAGGGAACAACAACAGAGGACTATGCTCGATTCAATACCAAAGGATCTTAATCGTCCTTGGGAAGACCCAATGCCTGAGACTGGTGAGAGGCATCTTGCTCAGGAGCTTAGAGGTGTTGGCTTGTCTGCTTATGACATGCCTGAATGGAAGAAGGATGCATTTGGAAAGGCATTAACATTTGGGCAAAGATCAAAACTATCCATTCAGGAGCAGAGGCAGAGCTTGCCAATATACAAATTGAAAAAGGAACTAATTCAAGCTGTACATGATAATCAGGTTTTGGTGGTTATTGGTGAGACAGGTTCTGGTAAGACTACCCAGGTAACACAGTATCTTGCTGAGGCAGGTTATACTACAAGGGGTAAGATTGGATGTACTCAGCCTCGCCGGGTGGCTGCAATGTCTGTAGCCAAGAGGGTGGCTGAAGAGTTTGGTTGTCGTTTAGGGGAGGAGGTTGGATATGCCATTCGTTTTGAGGACTGCACTGGACCAGATACTGTGATCAAATATATGACGGATGGTATGCTATTAAGGGAGATTCTTATTGATGAAAATCTTTCTCAGTACTCAGTGATAATGCTTGATGAAGCTCATGAGAGGACAATCCACACTGATGTTCTTTTTGGATTACTTAAACAGCTTGTGAAGAGGAGACCTGATCTGCGCTTGATCGTCACATCTGCCACGCTGGATGCAGAGAAATTTTCAGGGTATTTCTTCAACTGTAACATATTCACAATCCCTGGGAGAACTTTTCCTGTGGAGATATTATACACCAAACAGCCAGAAAGTGACTATTTAGATGCAGCTTTGATCACTGTTCTACAAATCCACTTGACGGAACCGGAAGGTGACATTCTTCTATTCTTGACTGGTCAGGAGGAGATTGATTTTGCTTGCCAGTCTCTCTATGACAGGATGAAAGGATTAGGTAAAAATGTTCCTGAATTGATTATATTGCCTGTTTATAGTGCTCTTCCCAGTGAGATGCAGTCCAGAATATTTGAACCTCCCCCTCCAGGGAAGCGGAAGGTGGTTGTGGCAACAAATATTGCTGAGGCTTCTTTGACAATTGATGGGATATTTTATGTCATTGATCCTGGTTTTGCAAAGCAGAATGTATATAATCCAAAGCAAGGTCTTGATTCTCTGGTCATAACTCCAATTTCACAAGCATCTGCGAAGCAGCGTGCTGGACGTGCTGGACGCACTGGGCCTGGAAAGTGTTATCGTCTGTATACTGAAAGTGCTTATCGTAATGAGATGTCCCCTACCACTGTTCCAGAAATTCAAAGAATAAATCTTGGAAATATTACACTCACAATGAAGGCAATGGGAATTAACGATCTATTGTCTTTTGATTTTATGGATCCCCCTTCACCACAGGCCCTCATTTCTGCCATGGAACAGCTATACAGTCTAGGAGCCTTGGATGAAGAGGGGCTTCTGACCAAACTGGGAAGAAAAATGGCAGAATTTCCCCTTGATCCGCCATTGTCCAAGATGTTGCTGGCAAGTGTAGATCTGGGGTGCAGTGATGAGATTTTGACTATTATTGCCATGATCCAAACTGGTAACATATTCTACAGGCCTAGAGAAAAACAAGCGCAAGCAGATCAGAAGAGAGCTAAGTTTTTCCAGCCGGAGGGAGACCATTTGACCTTACTTGCTGTGTATGAAGCTTGGAAAGCTAAGAACTTTTCAGGGCCATGGTGTTTTGAGAATTTTGTTCAGTCAAGATCCCTGAGGAGGGCACAGGATGTTAGGAAACAGCTCCTCTCAGTGATGGATAAGTATGATCTTCAACTTATGTTGTTTGCATTAATGCATTTGCAATTATATTTTCTTTTACATAACTGTCATTACATTCTTTTGTTGTTAAGTTACATTTGCTCCTCAATACAATGGTGTGATTGTATTAACATAATTTAGCAAGAATAAGCTTATTGATTTCATGTTTTGGTAAGATTGTTTGACTGAAAAAATTTTCTGTTATAAACGTTGAGGTTTTCTAATTTCTTATTGTTTTCAAGTATAGTTTTTTGGATGCTTTTTGTTCCTTAGACATATAGCGAATGTTTTGAAACCATGGTTTTGTATGCTAGCATTCTGATAAAATTGGTCCTTGAACAGTTGAGCCATAAAATATCATGACCTCTGTATGCCCTAACCTTTTTTTCATTTGGAAGTCTTTATATTTGGCTATCGTCCTTGTTTGACCTGTATTTGACCTGATCAAGACCTTGCAGAAACGTTGCTAGGACTTGCTCTATGAATGTTTGCACGAGTCCCATTAGTTGTGTAATGATGAGCAGCTTACAGTTACTTTTGCCATTGCACCCATCTACTTTTAATCGCTAGACAATTTCTAGTCTGTGGTTGCATTCAAGAATATGCTGTTTCTTCCACTGCAATGGTATCATTAACATTGGTAGTTATAAAATATGAGGTGGTTCAAGTGTCAAACCTTGCTTCATTTATTTATTTATTTTAATAGATATGAATATAGTAACTGCAGTTTTAGTTGGTGGATATTTCGTAGAAGGAAATTATAATTGCTTGCGTTGGAGTTTAGCTTTTGTTTGCCAATTCTTTGCTAGTGGGAAGAATAAACTACTCTACTGTTAAATGTTTTTGGCTGCAATTCTAACTCAATTGTCATTGCTGGATTTTCAGATACAAACTGGATGTTGTGAGTGCTGGAAAGAATTTCACGAAGATAAGAAAAGCAATTACAGCTGGCTTCTTTTTCCATGCTGCTAGAAAGGATCCACAGGAGGGTTATAGGACTCTGGTGGAGAACCAACCAGTTTATATCCACCCAAGCAGCGCTCTTTTCCAGAGACAGCCGGACTGGGTCATATACCATGAACTGGTAATGACTACGAAGGAGTACATGCGTGAGGTAACTGTTGTAGATCCCAAATGGCTTGTGGAACTGGCGCCTAGATTCTTTAAAGTGGCAGATCCAACTAAAATGAGCAAGCGGAAGCGTCAAGAGCGAATTGAGCCCCTATACGACAGATATCATGAACCTAATTCATGGCGATTAAGTAAACGGCGGGCTTAATGGGTGATTTCAGCTCTCGATAGCTATTGGGGTGTCAACTCTTCTCCAATCTATCTTAATTTGATCCTGTCATGCTGTTAACTTGTAATTGTCCGAATGTGCGCTGATATCTCTTTGATCTGATCTTAATGGGGTTTGCCTTTTTGAATCCTTTACCACAGGGCTCGATTGATTTTTATAAGCCACCGCAATTCAGATTCCAGTGATTTTGAAAATTCTAATTATTTCTGCCTTTGAGCTGCCATAATGAAGATCCTGTTGAGTTACAGCGGATACAACCGAAGGTACTGCTGGGTCGACCTAAGAATTATCCAGAATTGATATTGTTGATCGACGCAGGACTCGTACGTGCGGCCAAACTCGGTCAGTTGAAGCCCAAGCCCAAGCCCAAGTCCGGCATCTGGAAAGGCTGTTTAAAGCAAGACCAAGAAAACAATTTCACTGTTTAATTAAGAGCAAAACAAAAAGAAATATTGTACTAGCATCCAAATAAGCGTCTAGTTAAGTGCGCACCCAAAACACTCGCAAATAAATATCATATGTGCATGAGAAGCGCTCAATAATTGGCGAATAAAAAATTAAAAATGTAAATTCTCTGAGAATCGGTCAATAATTGGTGAACATAACTGTGAGATGAGCGCCAATCTCTTGAGACTCCTAACTTCAAAAAAGTGTAGTGGGATAATTAATTTTACAAGATTAAGTCGATCATCCCCTTTTTTTTTTTTTTTTTTTTTTTTTTTTGAAGAAGATACCTGAGTTTGAGATATTAAAAACAGCCGAGATAACAACGCGAAGTACTGCGAATGGGTCGACCTAAAATTGATTATTATCCTAGAATTGAATTTGTTGATCTAAGACGCAGGACTCGTACGTGCGTGCCAAACTCGGTCAGTTGAAGTTTCCAAGCCCAAAGCCCAAAGTCCCGGCATCTGGAAAGGGTGTTTTAAAAGGCAAGACCATACTGAAATTACAATTTCACTGTTTAATATAGAGCATAAACGGAAAAAGAAATTAATTGTACTTAAGACAATTTCCAAATAAAGCTGTTCTAGTAAGGTAGCGCACCCAAACACACTCGCAAAATTACAAAATTAATTCATATGTGCTGGGAGAATGCGCTCAATAATTGGCGAATAAAAAAATTAAAAATGTAAATTCTTGAGAAATCGAGTCAATAATTGGTGAACATAACTGTGAGATGGAAGGCGCCAATCTCTAATGAGATGGCCTAAAAAACTTCATATATATTCCACCAGTGTAGTGGGATAATTAATTTTAACAAGTTATTAAGTCGATCATCCCTTTTTTTTTTTTTTTTTTTTTTTTTTAAAAATTTCAAATTTTCACCCATTTCTTATTCTCTGTACATTACTGATTATATTTTTTTTTTTTTTTTTTTTTTTTTTTATAAAATTTCAATTTCTCCACCATTTCTATTTGTACATACTGATTTATATCTATATCACCAGTTGATCGAGCAATTAAAAGGGCTCTCAACTGTTTAAGATGAGTGTTTTACAAATAAAATTTTATATTTTGTAAAATTTATTTAAAACTTTCAAAATGAATTCTATGTGAAACAGGAATAATAAAATGCATTTATAAGTAATTTTTTAATGAAATTTATTTTTATTTTTATCTTTTTGAAACATGTTACTTGCAACTTAGCAGGAGGAATATATGGGATCAATAGCGCTGTACCTAAACACAAATCAAAAGATATAGACGAATATTTGAAATGAAACGGTTGACACAGAAAACTAAAAAGCTCAATGTGCTAACAGGAATAACAGAGCAAGAAATAATTTTTATTTTATGCCAAGAAATTAAGACAGAAAGATTGTCGCGACAAAATTCTTTTCGAACATAACGTTGCTTGTCATGCAGGACAAAGCATTAGCGGAAATGTAAGCATACATATAGCAGTCTCAAATTAAAAGCACATAAAGAACTGAGTACTGAGTAGCATATCCCATTCTCAACCACCGTGGTCAGAGAATGAACCTTTTTGTCCTAATTAAGTAGTATCCTAATTACAATACAAACCAGATATAGGCCTTATACATAAAAAGAGAGTATCTTGATCATCTCCAGGTGAAAGTTGCATATATATACATATAATATATAATATATTATATATATATATTATATATATAATATATATATGAGAGAGAAAGAGAGAGAGAGAGAGAGAGAGGGGATTAACCTAAGTCCCTTAACCATTGGTTGGTGGGTTTAGAGAAGAACCCAACGCGGAATCAAATATCTCATATATATATGAGAGAGAAAGAGAGAGAGAGAGAGAGAGAGGGGATAACCTAAGTCCTAACCATGGTTGGTGGGTTAGAGAAGAACCCAAGGGAATCAAAATATCTCCCAAGAGTTACATGCATGTGCTGTTAGCTCCAAATCCATTTATGGAGTTCTCAGCGTGATGTTGAAACAATACAAAATCTAAATGCAGGATTTAAAAGAAAAAAAAAAAAAAACTAACTAACCCTCCTATTCTTTCTTTACTTTAAAAAGAGGTTAAAACTTCCAAAGTTTAACCTCATGGAATTTACAGGAAATAGGAAAAAAGATTAACAGTTAATCAAATTTTCTTCCCTTACCCCAAGGGAAGGTCGTTTGTTAAAACACATGAAGTAAGATTTTAAAAGTAAAATTTTGGTGAAAAAGAAAAAAAAAATTGTGGAATAAACATGACTGCGGTCCCAGCTAGCTCTAAAATCCTAAGACTAGCTAAGATGTCAATGCACAAAAACTGAGGGTACCCATGCCCTGGCCATGATCTTGGAAATGAAATTGCCTCTTAATCTAGATATAGAGGTCATCATCTATGATTATATTAATTATTGGAGGGATTAGACATTAAAAAGCTGGTTTGTGAAAACCAAAGGACTTGCTATATATTTCAGGGTGTTGAATATACAAAATGTTTGCAAAACCATTTTTCAAGTGGATTAGCCTTCCCTAGGCTAAAAATTTACAAAATGGTTATTTTGCTTCGATTAGCCCTTTTCCGGGCTAATGATAGAAAAAGTGTCGCCAACAAAGCTATAATCCCACAGCTTGCATTGGTGAATACATACAAGATGATTTTGTTCTCTTCAAAGAGGAACCCTTTCTTTCAAAAGAGATATGCAACGGAAAAATTAAGATGCATGACTCCAATTCTTGGAGTGACTAGTGGTGTAACCAACCCCTATGGAGGGCTTATATATGTTAGGAAGAGAGAACCATGGTTAGGCCAAAGGTTGCTTAGACTGAGACCTCAAAAGAAGCTACTATATGAGAAGCATACAAGTGGGGCCAAGTGGCTTTAGCGATGAGGAATTGGTGGAGCAGGAAGAGCCACGGTCACGCCTGTGGCACAGCAAAACACACTGTCAAAGATATTAGTATTCCAATCCTCAAATAGAAAAAGTATATATGTATTAGTGACCATACTAAAGAGTATGTATACCTGATTGCAATGCTGCAGTTGGAGCAAGTGACATGGGTGCACCGTATTGCTGGGGGTAGCCTCCAGTTGAATTAATGGCTGAATACTGAAACATGTGGTGTGGGTATTGAATACCATAGCTTTGCCCAGATGCGTAGCCTGTGGCTGCTCCTCCGTTCCCTTCTCCAAATTGAAGATATGGGTAAAAGGCAGTGGCTGCACCTGTCATCATTCCTCCAGGCCCGGTCCCATACATAGGATACTGGGCAGTTGCCCCTCCATATACACTGTAATAGCTCTGAACCGAAAAAGAAAAAAAAAAACACCACATTTCACACATATTATAGAAGAATGTGATTCGAATTCAAATTGATAAACAAGTCAAAGTAGACTTCCTCCAGTTAGTAAATTCATTCTTTACGCTGCACATCAATCATATTTTCTTCAAGGTGCCATTTTTGTAATATATATATATATATATATATATACACTTTTTAAAACAAAATTTTTGATATAGAACGGGACTAAATGCCCAAAAACAAGCTATACAAATTTACTGCCTTTATGTACTAATTATTCTATTCACTTGATATGCCTGCTTCTTAAAAATAGACTAGCGACTACTTTCAATTATATTAATTAATTAATAGATAACTTTCATTTAACCTCTTCGTAGTGATTTTCCATCTCCCAATATGACTAATTATTTTTTGTCAATTAATTGTGATTATGTCGTACTAACATGTAAATAATCTTCCCGTCACATTTTAGCAAGGGTGAAAGTTCTATCCAAATTACTTTAATAATAATAATAATAATATTATAAGAGAATCTCCATGAAGCAAAGAAATAGTGAAAATTATAGAACTGAAAGTTAAAAAGTCATTATCTGCTGAAAAGCATGCTTGAAAACGTCTAAGTAGTGCGGGAAAGGGGAAAAAAAATGTAGAAAATCCTAATAAGAACGATAGAGTAAAGGGGGAATTTATACAAACCGTCGGGTAACTGTAGTCTGGCGAGTATGGAGAGTACCTGAAATTGGGTTTCAGATATAAGATTATAATTAGCATTCGGTGCTTGCTAAAGAAAACGTACGGTCAGAATTCCCAAAAACAAAAGGCAAAAGATTATACAAGGCATAAATAACGCACGCGAGCGTATATAGGGTATTTGTTAATTTATAGTATCAAACATGATAACATTAATTAAAGACATAGAATAGTTCGTTGAGGGTTTGTGAGGAGGGAGAGAGAGATGGTAGTCTGTTAGAGATGATAGCCACGTGCTTATTGTTAACATATTCTTCCAAGGTCCAAATGTGTAATGTGGATGTTATGTATCATGTCTCACATATACGAGGCATTTTGAACTGATTGAGTATGTGTGTGTGTCCTTGGGAGAGGAGAGAGAGAGAAAGAGATAGGATGTGTGTGTGTGTGTGAGAGTATGTGCGCATGTGCGTAGTGTGTCCTTGTTTGAGGAGAGAGAGAGAAGAAGCTGTAGGTCTCACATATAGATGATGAATGATAATGCTCGATGACAAACCCTAGTTTAATGGATTAAGAGCGCATGAGTTGGCAATGCACGTGCATGAATTCCCATTATGTTTCCCGTGAAAATACAAAAGAAAAGAAAAAACAAACATTTAATCACCCACCCATAAACATTATAAGGTATTCCTTGTTGGATGGCATAATGAGGGAAGGATGCTGCTGAAGGAAAAGCTGTTCCCACTCCACCTCCGAACCCCGTCTGAAAAGAGCTCATTACCCTAAAGTTCCTGCCTGCTCCTCCTCCTGCATGCGTTTATCACAATATTTCTTTTTATTCAATAGTATAGAAGAAAACTAAACCATGACCATGCATCCCTACATGATATATATACCTCCTCCTGTGCATTGGTTTATCACAATTATTTCTTTTTTATTCTAATAGCTATTCGCACATTGAAAACCTTAATACCCATCTGACTACCAATAGCATTCCCATACATGGATAAGGCTATATACATATACTATATAATATATACTTATACTATAATATATAAATGATATAATCGATTTGAACGAGAAGTACAATAATTATGACAAAAATCTATTTCCTCAACAGCTCTAGCTGTGATGATGTTTTTCCCTGCTTGTGAATAAAGTGGACCACTTCCTTTCTTTTCGTGGCTTCCCATCTGTCTCTTTTTGCTTGGCATGTACATATATAATCGATGAACGAGAATACAATAAATGACAAAATCTATTTCCTCAACAGCTACTGTGAGATGTTTTCCCTGCTTGGAAAAGGACACTTCCGTTCTTTCTCTCCCTCTGTCTCTCTTTTGCTTGCATGTACATGTTATTTATATTATGGACTTGGTCCAAAGTCCAGACAAGAAAGAATAGAACTTTCCCTGTTGGGAAGAATATTCATGCTGCATTTTGATTTGACTGTGTAATGCGTTTGTTCAAAACGGAATATTATAGGAGCCACGTCGATTTTTTTACAGCTATATACACAAATATTTTAACCAAAAAGAAAAAAAAAAAGGAAGAAAGAAAGAAATAAAGAAAAGATAATAGATATGTACTGAGGTTCAACTTAATTAGTAGTTAGCAATGAATATATATTAACAGTAAGTCTTGCCTTAAAATTCAAACTTCAAAGAAAGGAAAAATGTGGCATCTCCATCTTAAATGAAATACATTGTTAAAGATTTTTCCGGAACTGGTAAAAGATCCGATCCATTTATGACATGAAATAAGAAGTACCATGCTTTGGAGTTGAAGGTTTGGATCTTTGAACTCCCAAAGATGCCAGATTGCAATTAGCCCTTCTCCCATCAATCACGGGAGCAGCATCAACACAGGCCTTCATGGCGGCTTCAGGATCCCGAAAGGTAACCTAAAACAAATATTTATATAAAAACGCAGTACATTTTCCCAATTATCTTTAGAAAATCTTGATTTTCATGCAACAACTTAAAGTTCTATCGATTCAAGATCTATATATGGGATCAAATCATAAACTGAAGAAAATAATTAAAAGAAAAGAATAATAAACATACAAATCCGTAGCCCTTGGATCTACCAGTGGCTTTATCAGTGATGACAACAGCCTCTAAGATCTCACCAAACTGCTCAAAGTATTTCTTCATAGTGTCCTTCTGTGTCTCCCAAGCCAAACCCCCAACAAACACCTTGGTGTATGTTGTGTCACCGAACTGCCCCGCCAAATTTGCTGGAGTCATCTTAATATCTCTGCTTCTTCTTTTGCCTCTCCTCTTCTCTTCTCTTACTAGTTAGGATCTCTTATTAATTATCACCCTCAAACCAAAGTCAGCAAACAAAAAATCTTGGTATATATGTGTTAGATGCTGAGACCAAAATGGACAAGTCGAAGATAGATAGATCTAGGCCAGGGATGATAAAGAGAAAGACCCACTAATTTTAGACTTTAGAGAGGGATCTTCTCTTAGTTTTAGATTTTAGAGATTGTATCTTATTTTTCTGTTGAGACTTGAGAGTTGAGAGAGACAATTAGGTCAGAGAGAGTGAATTTTGGGAGGGAAGAGAAAGCAAAAGCTAGAAAAAGAAGAAAGCCTCTCTCATAATACGGACATGAATTATATACACAGCAGCCCCCACCTTTTTCTCTTCTTCTCACGCGCTTCTGTTTCTCGTCTTTTTCAATCTTATGTGCTCACTTTCACCGTGCATACACGCTCCATTGCGAGTGTGGGTATGGTGTATGTGCTATTATTATGTCCCTCATAGCTGTACCCTGCATTATTTTAAGGGGGGATTCGCAATGACTAATCGCACGCTGTTTTTTCCAATAATTACAAAATTACCGCACGCAGCCGGATCCAGAAGAGCTAAAGCCCCTAATGGCATAAACGGAACGGAAAAATTCTTTGCGAACGGAGCATAAAATCACGCGGGAGGTCCAAGGTCAACCCTCACTGTAGGTGGGCGGTTCGTGAATTTTTTTGACTAATAATTTTGCTCGTTCTCTTGATCCTTGTGTATCTATCTATAGATCTTTTTCCATGGTAGAAGTATAGTCTCTCTCTCTATGTATATATACATACGGGAGACGCCATAATCCTTTTGTTTTTGTTTGTCTTGTATTTGGGTACAAAGATGCCATAATCCATCCTCATGATTACATTTGCATCGAGTCAAAGTCAGGTTTAAGTTAGAGAAATCATTAAGTTTAGTTGGATATTTAGTTTTATAAACTTAAAAAATTATACATAAATCATTAAGTAAATTTTGAATATTATTATTTTTATATATAACTAGATTATTAATTTCATACCCCAATTGATACTAGACTCATAGCCCCTACAGTGCACCGATTATTTAATTCATGTACACGTAATAAAGTACGATAATTTCATTTTTATATAAATATTAACCTTATAAAAATAATCACAATCTTCTTCGATCTTCTTTGAATTATCCATATATCTATATGCGTTTGTATAAAACCAATATAAATTTTAGTTAATGAATTCAAAATAGGGTTAAACTGTATAAAAGAATTAAAATTATTATTATTATTATTATTATTATTATTGTGTTATATCGCTGGTTATTGTTCAAATCAAATGTAGAAGAAACTAAAAAAACCATTAAATTTTGATTTAAATGGAAAAGAGAAAAAATAGAATTATAATATTAAAAAACATATTAGCAGTGTTTTTTATGCGCTTAATAAGAAGTATTCTAATTTCTTCAAACGATGGCGTTTAAAGGGAAAAATACTGCTGGACAGTAGCTAATTAATGAGACCGCCAAACCATCAGGGGAATGATTAACCCAGAAAGACATATGCATCGGTCAATCCATTCATCGATGTCTGAAAATTCTAGCAACTAATTTCACATCATCTTACGGAGTACAAGCTTATTATGAAATTGGACTACCCATTGGTTTTACAAGTCCTACTATTGGATCAATTATTAATAACTTACATTTTCTGTTGACTTTGGAGGCTAAATTATTGTTTAATATACATGAATCTTATAAAACCTTTTTTTCACTGTGCAAAGAATATTTTTATTTACTCATATGAATTCAAATTTTAATGAAATTAGCATAACTAAATAAAAATTTATCGATTGTAACAAAATTAATGTCGGTCAATTCCTGTCAAACTTGATTTCTTTTCTTTTTCTTTTGTTTGTGCCCTTAATTCGATATTTTGCCCATATCAACATAGTATATTGAAATTTTTTTTATCAGCAATTCATATTTTATTGCATAAATATAAAAGCCAGAAAAAATTTGTCAAACACAAAATACTAAATCCGAGCCAACAGGTCCTCACTATACCCCAAAACTATAACTTGAATTTGATAAGTATAGAAACCTGCCTACCAACAACTTCATACAAAGACATAGATATCTTTTTTTAAGATAAGAAAATAACAAAACAATACTATTATTACAGCGAAGCTAAAAAAAAAAATAAAAAACTCAGCATCAAGACATTTTGCTAGACAATCTGTAAAATAATTGCTATTTTTATTAATACGTCTGAACTCAACATGGCTGGCTATCAAATAATATACATAGTATATTGAAATTTAATTACTGATTAAAACAAAATTATGCAAAGCACCAGAGAACCAAGCACAGTTTTGAGGGAAAAGAAAACATGGCACCAGTCGCTGGGCAGCAAACCCAATTAATGACCATCATTTTGGCAACTGTGCTCATATGTATTGCGCAGATACACCTTTTGATAGTATTATTATGCAGATTGGTTGGTTGATACCGTTTCACAGTTGCTCCCATAATTGCATTTTGCAAATCACGTGCTGGTCACCAAATAAAAATTGGAGTAATTATTATATAGTCCCTAAATTTTTGTGAAAACATTAATAAGGACCTCAATTTTTTAAATTATATTATTTAATCTTCGCATTATGATTCTGTTATACTATAAAGTCCAATGTTACTTCTTCCATTACGTGATTGTCAAATATAAAAAACACTCTTAATAATAATTATTATATAGAAATTAAATAGTGTAAAATTATAAAAATTCAAATCCTTACTAATGCATTTTCATCAAATTATAAATATTATAAATAATTATTTTAAAGGTTATTTTTGACATTTCATAGTTTGATGGAAAAGCGGTTCAACCTTAGAGTATAATGAAATTACAATGAAAGGAATAAATAGTAGTAATTGAAAAAACTGAGGTTCTTACTACTATATTTAAGCAAAATCTAACAACAATACAGTAATTGCTTCATACAAATTGTAGAGGGGGAATGGCAATAAAGAAATAAAGGGAATGAGCAAGTGCAATTACAATGGTGCAAACTTTATTCATTTATATACAGGGCCCCTTCGATGCATGCACAGCAATACAGTGCTCCTCCAACCACATAGCTCTTGCGTCTTACGATATCATATATATTATTGTCATGAAGACAGACGGCTGAGATGAAAAGAAGAGGTCCACATGAGAAGTATAGAGTTAAGAACTTTAGAAAGCAAATAAAAGGAGATAAGTGGGTCTTACCTGGCATGCAAGGGCAGCTGTCTCCAACTTCTTTGACCGAGAAAGCTACATTCCTTCTCTCTCTCTCTCTCTCTCTCTCTCTGTGTAAGCGATAGGTGGCATAGACCACACAGAGGTGTACATGACAGACTCACACACATGCATGTCTCCGCAGCTTTATCACATACATCTCTCTCTTCTGTGGTCCCCACCATCAACTTGCTTTTCCCTTCTCCCCTCCCAACCCAATCCAACCCAAGTTAAAATAAAATTAAATCGAGACTTGTTTCTTTCTTGTTGCTGCAATTTACTTGGCATGGATGGATCGTTATTGTTTTCCGTTGCTTTAAATATTATACTACTAAACTGTATCTGCTCGGTGTTCAAATGCTTTTGATCTATTACAGGCTTCCTATCTCGTTCAAGGATCAAAATATTTTATGGTTCTGCACCATGAATACTCTCCTAATCACAAATCTTCCAGTTCCACAGACTTAGAAACAATGCTACTCGACCAACACACGGGAATAATTCGACCTTTAACTTAACATGACAGATTCCGAAAATACACAAGGAATTCACAACAAATCCTATTGACTTCTTTATGAAAAAGATTAAGCCCCAGACCAAAGTGTATTCCCAAATGCATAAGAAAATTCACAATAAATGCCATTAACTTGCTATGACATGTCTTCATGATAAAGATTAAGCCCCAGACCAAAGCGTGCACAGGCTCTCCGAAACGCCATTGCTTCTGCCTTTTGTACAGGATCTCCGTAACCTTTATCATCCGTAGAAGCAGTCCCAGTTGATTCCCTATATATCTGGTGCAATGATTAAAACATTTTCAAAAAAAAAATAAAATAAAAAATAAAAAATAAAATAAAATCAGTTGTATTTCCCTCCAAAAACATTATTCTTTTTTTTTTTTTTTCAGGACCTAGTTCAATCTGGGTACATTTAACCTTCCACATTTTCATAGCTTACTTTAATATTAGATCAACATGCCTTGAATTATATTTCATCAAAATAACAGAGTGCATCAAATAAGAATAAAATCTCTCGTCTTTTGACTTCATACACAAGAATGAAGTATGTGGAAAGAAAATTAATAGAAAATGATATATGGGTTAACCCTAGGCAAAGTTACCATGATGCAATCCCCAGGATGCTACAACCATTATAGTGAAATGAAGCAACAAGACATTAGATGCGATCAGAGGGTTTCGAATTTTGCCCCAGGAACCATCAAAGAAAATATTGCCGGGGGCTGAAAAGTGACAAAAAGAGCATGCATAAATGGAAGGAGCAAGGGGACAGATGGACTAACATTTTTTCAGCTTAAACAGACTACCTTCTGAACTATTAGAACATATGAGAAGGGAATCTATTCAATTCTAAACAAACTAAATACATACAAAAGGAAGTGTATTAAACATAGCAAAAGGGTTTAGGGCAGTAATTAGGCTAGAATAAGGTAATTGTGATTGGAACAATTTAAAATAATTCATTTTAAAGAAAACCTTAGAATTAAAATTCTAATACAAAGTACTAGTTATACTAACTAGAACAAATCCTAATCCTAGAAAGCTATTCCTAATTAGTTAGTTAACTTACTTTAGAAGAATCCTAGATAAAGAAGGAAAAATCAAAAACTTACTAATTAATTAACATAATTTATAGGAAACCTAGCTTTGAATCATATTTTGAATTCTACACTTTGTTTGAATTAGTTGAAATTCATAAAATCAATATAATAGCTGGCAACTGGTCTCAATTTTGGATGACAAATAAATTCCGCAATCCAGCTAGCAGATTGATATTGGACCTAGAGCATTTTCGCAGAAAGATATCAGACAAAGGTTTGGTTATCTGGTAGGTGGTAGGTATCATATGAATAAAATCCTTCAACTTCTGAGGTTTGAGAACTTGGAGAAACAAACAAGCAAGAAAATGGCACTATGACCAAACATTACACCTCCCATTTTCTTGGTCATTAATCATCACCCAAGGTTTTACTTGCATCCTAATCCACTATCATCTCAAACTATGTAAAATTCATGCTACACTGGAATGCACATGAGGACTATCATATATTCATTATCACATCTTATTTCATTCCCGAAAACTCAATGCACCTTTTAATTTGAAATTAAATAATTAGTCATCACCATCGCCTATCATAAATAACACATAATTCATGATCCATACACATCGATTCCAAGTTTCAGGACAAGAAAATGTAAAAATGAACTCATGCCCAATATAAACAAATGGATGAGCTATAGTGTTTTTTTCCAGCTCATTACTCAATGTAACTGTTCTACTACTCTTAGGTTCTGTTGGTTTTGTACATGAAATAGAGTGAGAGTTTAAATAGTAATTCCATGACCACATGGCAGCTATTTTTCATTTCAGTGTGAAATTTATATTCCAGAACTTTGTGAAATATCCATTTTATGTAATAAAAATGATTACTCATTTCTAAGATCAAGCCAAAATCTCACATTCCACATCTTATTACACATAAAAGGCCAGTCCTTGGTGGCCATCTGATGTAGAAACAAGCAAATAAGAAATAAAATCAAGAGAAATGAACCAACTTGAAATTCAATTTTATTTGATCAATCACCAAAAGGAACCCAAGTGGAACAGTTAATACACTTTCTATAGGTACCAAAAACTCTACCAACAAAACTAGGAAACTTTAAACTGATAGCCAATACAATAATAAAACGAAATACATGAAACAACCAAGTGAAGCAACAACGAAATACAATAATAAAATGCCCTAATATATATATATATATATTTTTCCAAAGAAATGTGTCATAATAGTTCCAAAGGTCATTTTATGCCCAAATAAACCAGTTATGAATATCCATTGGCAAATAGGAAAAATTATAACAGGAAGACTCCATGCAGAAGACAAGCTTTATCTTTCAGCCATTATAGCATTTCCTAACCAGCCAGCCAAGAAAAACAAAAACCTTCTTCACTGTCCAGTGTCCACAAGCTCTACTTCATGCAAGGTAAATTTTGTGGATCCTTTCATTTATACAGTGATCTAGATATGTATACCAAGATACCCATGGTCCAATTTTCTTTAAACATATGAAAGCTAGTGGTACAGGAATGTGATTAAAATTGAAAAAGGAATTCCACTAATTGCCCTCAATTAAATAAAAGGTAGAGGTTTTTTTCCAGAGAAAATCAATACCTTCCATGCCATGAAGACTTCCTGTTAGAATTTCCTGATGTAGCAAACTTGGCAACATTTTCATTAAAAGAATTACATAAAAGGACTAGTTGAATAATTCTAGGCTTAATAGACAAAAATACTAGAAGTAGGTACCTTTTCTTTATGAGTTTATCCCATACTGGGTCCTAGAATTTTTTTTTTTCCCGAGTTTTGATTTGATGAGGAATAGATTTGAAATCTGGCTTTGGCGTCAATTAGTTTTACATTTTTGGTACTCTTTCTCATATGCCCATCTCCCAAGCTTTATTGAATAAGATTATTTCAGCCAGCAAAATTACTCAAATTTGTGTCGAATAAAATCATTGATGTTTTCTGAATTCCAATAATCGCCCTAGCTACCAGATGACCAGAACTGATATGCACTGACTATATTCTGAGTAATAACATCCTTTATGAGTTCATGGCAAAATTATCACCTGCAAAGAAGTAGCAGGTCACGACGAGCCTAATGCTAATGGGCCCACCAAGGTAGTGACACCCAGGGGCCAAATGCAGTCGTATGCCAAGTTCAACCCATCCCAAATTCCCAATCACAGAAATTAGAGAGACCAAGATGAGGTGTAGCATGCAAGGTAAACAATGGGTGTACGTACGTCAAGACGTGTAAAGTGAGAAAAATACCTCAGCATCAGTCCCGTAGAGTGTGACACGATAAACAACAGAGATAGACTTGCCATCCGTGGAATAAGTTATGTTCCGAACCTCACCAGACCATTCTGCATTAGATGCTGAATGTAAGAAGTTTTGCAAGCTTGAAGGATCGAACTTAAAAAGTCTGAGGCAGTATTAGATTTTAGTTACTCGTGAATGATTTAGACATTGATTTTCAGCATACCTGGGGCATGTAAGTTCATTATCCTGTTGACTATATGCCTGCAAAGAATAGGCAGCGAAATTAAACGACCATAAAATAGTCTTATAACCTCCTAGATCGATATGAAAATAGAGCAAAATGCTGATTGAGAGGAACTTCAACATCAACTGGAGCCACATTAAAACTTTACTCAATGCAACAGAATACGAATTTTATGCAATGATGAGAAAATTCAAAAGTATCATTGCAACTTCCGAAACCTAACGACTGGATCTAAACCCCCATAAAAAAAAAAAAAAAAAAAAAATTGCAACTCCGAAACCTACGAACTGGATCTACCCCCATAAAAAAAAAAAAAAAAAAAAAAAAAGGAAAAGTAATTTCAGCTATTTTGAACTCAACAGAAGAAAAAGATCACTCTACCAGGGGATGTACTTGGCGGAGAAGCCATCCTGATGGCGTTGCCTGACTAGGGAATCAGGTACTTTCTTATTGAGTTCTTTAAGGATTTCAGAGAGTGGCCTGCTGATTCCTGATGTGGGGATGTCGTTGCTTTGACTCTCGCTTAGTCTCTCTGTTTCTCCAAAAGAAGACGAAGAGTACCATTGTTTCAAAAGAAGCAATGATGATTGCTTCAATTTCACGGGGTGCCGAGTAGATAATGAGATTGTTGTCAGTAATTTCAATTTCATGATCGGATGTTTGATTTCTTAGTAAGAAATTTCAAACTCTGAAGCGTGAGAAAGAATATCAGAAGAGGAGCAACTTCGGCTGAAACCCTCTCCTCTCCGATTTCTGGGATAAAAGCATTGCCCCTGAACTTTACGAGTTATTCTATTGAGTCCTTACGTTAAAAAACGTTAGGCACTTTCCCATTAGTCTACCGATAAATGAATTATTTGATTTGGGCGTCTCCTATTGCTCAAATACTCCATAAAAATATAAAAAATATTTTACAAGACATTTTTTTTAGAAGATACAAGACAAATATTTTGAAAAAGGTTGAATCATATAGAATCTCCAAATTTTGGGTATTGTAATAATTGTGACGGAAAACAATCTTAATACTTAGATACATTAATTTAAATTTTTATTATAGTTGCACTTTAAATTTTAAATTATTCCAAATTTTTTATCACAAATACACTTTAAATTTAAAATTTATTTCATTATTATATACAATCCATAAATTAATGGAGAAGACGAATAGTATTCTAGAGAAGATGAAACTTTAAATGAAACAAAAAAACTTCCCATAGTTGAGGTTCACAACGAGAGAGAAGAGAGAAAAAGTAGAGGCATCAAAAGGAGAAATGAGACAAAACTAAAAATCGATGGATTTTAAAAAAAAATATTAAAATAGATTGATTAAAATGACACAATTTCACGTAACCAACACTTTCGATTAAACTAATCAAATGTATAAAGATAAGACTGGTGATTTCTATTTTTCTTTAATAAATTTGTTATAATTTAAATTTGTGGCATTTGAAGAGGTTATTGTTATTATAAGATGCACTCTTCTTTTCCACTAATGCATGACTTGCAAATCAAATTCAAAATAAGATAAAAATTGAATTTAATTTGCAATTGCTACAGACATAGTTTGAATCTATGATGCAATTGTAATATAAAGTTAAGACTGGATGTCTGGGAGATTAAAATTATTTTGAGGTGCAATTCTTATAATCGGTAAAATTGAGATATTTTATATACTTTAGTCTATTGAAAAATATGAATTTAGTTTTTTTTTTATAAAAACAATACAAAATTAATTTATTCCAAAATTTTTTAAAGATAATAAAATATTTTACATTTAAAAATATAAATTAGAGCTGCCCACTTCGTAATAGAAAATCAGATCAAATTAAATTGGACCAGTGATTGATTCACGAATTGATCTATCTGACAAACTGGTCTGGTCCGGTTTTAAACACTTGACTCCACGTTGGACACGTCGTTTGTCTGTTTGAGCGCAAGGCATGCTCCATTAAATTGTCCACGATCACAGTTAGTTCGAGGATTCAATCAAAAAAATTTGCATAGAAGGACTCGATAGAATAATTGAATAAAGTTCAGGGGCCCTAGATGCTTTTATCCCTGATTTTCTGAGAAAGAAAAAAAATGCACAGTGAGATTTGGGCTTCCGATCAAATTGGACTAATAGTGGTGGCTTCAATAAAGGCTTACTTCCGTAAAAGGTCCGACCCATTTTCTACTCCAGTTCATAAAAAATAAGCTCAACTTCTACATTCTCACAAACTCTATAATGACATGTGGGATTAAGGTGGCCCTTTTTTTTTTTTTTTTTTTTTAAACTGTGCAATAGAAGGACTCGATAGATAATTGGATAAGTGTCAGGGCCGTACGAATGGCTTTTATCCCGGAATTCACTGAAAAGAAAAAAATGGACACAGTGAGATTGGTATTCCGAGATCAAAAAATTGGACTTTAATAGTGGCTTGCTTCAATAAAGGCTTACTCCATCCGTAAAAGGTCCCAGAACCATATTGTCTACTGCCAGTTTTCATTATTATTATATATATTATATATTTCTCCAACTTCCTACTATTATTTCCAACCAAAGCCTATAATCGACATGTTTGGTATTTAAGGTGGCCACCTTTTTTGCGTTTATTCATTTTTTTTTTTTTTTATTTGAAGGATGTAATGAGCGGTTTATTGATTTCTATTGATTTAATTGATAAATTTAACCCATATGAGGTGTTGTTAATAAGTTTGGTTTAAGTTTGCACAGCTAAACGATGATAAATGTCCCCAAAATTAAACTACCCTTGATCCATCGAGCTACTGTGTTTTCTAGCGCTGGTTAATCGCACAATTTTCTAAATAACATTATTTTATAATTACATCTTATCTAATAAATTATATATTTTGCATCATTTAAAACTAGTTTTTAACAACAATACAACTATTTTATCTTATTTATATACCTCGATCGCAATAAAAACACTATTTTATATGGTTATTTTTAAAAATAAAGTATATTTATTCACATGCAAAGATAATATATTGTTCGTTAAATCATTTCTTTAAATAATAACATCCAAATGTTCCAATACCCAACAACCTTCCAGCCTATAAAAAATTCGAACCAGCCTAATCAAAGTGTTCCTCGATTATACTGTTAAGATGATGGTGATTTTTAATATTATTTGTGGCTACACTCAAAAATTGCTACGATTTAATAACCTAGGGGTAAGGTTTTTTCAATCACCATTCGCGCATACACATAATTATATCTATACTCTCTCTCGGACGCTATGTTACTATCAATTACTCGCACTTTTAGAAAGTATTGATATTGTGTTGATTTAAATTTTGATATATTTGTATGGTTTCCTTTAATTCTTCTACAAAAACATTTTACTTGTGATAGAAATTTTTCTTTTCAATAATTTATATTATTTATCTATTTTTTTATATGTTGTTATTAGTCTTTATATTTTGAATGATTATGGTATTTGTATTGTATTATATAAGACGTACATTTTTAAAAAACTTCAATAATAATTCTATTTATGAATAAAAATAAAAATAATATATTACTGTTCAAAATAAAAAAGTAACATAATATATACATTATAATATAAAAAATCAAAATTTATATTCTTAAATGGGTATTCCCATATTTAACAGTAAACGCGCATATTGACTGTAATAACAACCAAGTAATCACTAATTGTGGGGGTGGGTCAGATTTAGGTAATTTCTCAATCCTAATTTACTTCGTGGGGCAAATAACCAAATAAACAATAAGCAAATTACCCGAGCCAAACGGGTCCAACAGGGATAAACCAAACAGTCCCCCCTCGTTTTTTATTTTCCATTTTTAATACAGACAACCTAAACAGTCTTCAACTCGTTCGTTTTCAAGTATTTTTTTGCTATTTCCACTTGACATTTTTTTATCTCTGCCTTGGTATTTGAGTTAGTGTTTTGCTCTCTCGCAAAGACGTTTGGCGGACGCGAAAATACCTTGAAAAGCTGTACAAAATTTAAGGGAAATCTCAAAGAAGAAAAGAGATGTTGATGGCGAAGACTTAATGTTAAGGGTATATTATGATTGAGTTATTATAAATCCTAATAATTGTTTTGTTTTTAACAGGTAATGTGGACACTGCGAAATAAAGCCGAGTTTTAATATTTGCCGATTGACTAGCGTCATCTCACCATATTCGTTTTTCTCCGTCGGGCCAATCATGCGATAAACCATTCCCTATAGTGATTTCCTGGAATAAAATGAGGAATCCGCCCTTCTTCTCGACCTTAGTCCAGAATACATCAATGAAGGTCTTCCTCCTATAATTAATCTTTCTTCTCTTCCTCTGATTTATTTCCCAATTATATGGAATAGTTGCCGTGGTTTAAAAATTAAACATATATATTGACAGGGTTAAATTTTTTCTCTGTTGAGTGTTCCTGGATTGATCATTTTGAAGCTTTCCGGAGGGTATTTTTCTTCCATTTCTATCAGAGGAGAAAAATAAACTCAGTAACTGAAATGTTGAAACTTTCGAGTTCTATTTTTAATATAATCACTTGGTCAATGAGTGATAGATTTGTATCTGCCATCCGGAACCTAAATTAAGCTAAATAGTACGCCCCTACATCCCTTAATTCATGCTATTATGAACGAAAGTTAACGAATTAGGGTAAATTAAGTTATAGCAGCTAATCCATGCATTTGATTTTTCAAAAATTAACTTAATGAAGAAGAAGTGGCTGCCCATCTCTTTCCAATTTCTCCAAACTGTTAATGTTGTCTAAACAATAAGGATGAATTTGTTTCCGGGGGTGAAACTAACTTTGGGAAAAAAAAAATTTTTTTTTTTTTCCGCAAAGGGGAATGATAGAACGACTCATTTTGCTATTGGTGTTTGTTTGGGTGATCTTTGAAAATTCGTTATAATAATTTAAAAAAAATTCTTTAAAATTTAATAACAAGAATAAAATAAAAAATATTTAGAATTATAGGGAATTTCATATATTTTTAAATAAAAAATTTAAAATAGAGAAAAAATGTAAAAAAAAGAAAAAAAGAAGGTAAGTTATGCCCTGGTTCTTGCGACCAGGATTGATTAGTATGTGGGTGAGCTGGATAAATGGATAGCATGTAATAAATTTTAAACTAAATGTAGATTTTATTAAAGGTTATAAATTTTTATATAAAATGCAAGTATTTAATATTTTTTAAACAATGAAACTCCAATTTTTTTCTTTCCTTTTACCCTAGGGAAAAAATCTTGTTCTGTTGATTCTGAAATTCTTTAACTTAACCAATAATCAATACCAGAAAATAACTTACATTAACATAAAAAAAATACAATAATAAAATGGATTTCTTTGCCCTTTGGATAATTTTTTGTACAGAGTATTATATTTTACTTCTACAATGTTAAGATTTTTGCTCCAGAAACGGTAAATATATAAATAAAGAAACTGACTTAATGTATGAAAATTTCTTTGTTTTAGCTTCCATTTGTGTCTTATGATCTCGCTTTTATACCGGCCAAACCCTGAAAAACATATGGCAAAAAGGGTACAAAGAAGTTGATATTTCTCCACCAATGGAAGAGTCTGATCAAATGGGGATCATCCCACAATGGGCTGGTGGCAACAATAGATAGAAGTCCCGACTGTGCAATGGAGGCTAAAACAATTCGTCTCACTTCTTAGGACAAGGTGTATGCAAAATCTTTTCTTGCAGGAAAAAAAATAAAAAATTAAGCTTTTGAAGAAAATGTCACTGCGATTAATTTTATACAGCATATCTAATTATTTGTATTGAAATTTCAAGCCTTGATGGAACCGAATAATCAAGACGACAACAACATAATAAAACCAAAGTTTTCTTTGGCTTCA